GTCTCCAGTCCATCACAGGGCCACTAAAGACAAACGAGACAAACAAGCATTCACTCTCTCACTCACACCTAGGGACAATTTAGAGTTACCAATCAGCCTAACATGCATGTTTTTGGTCTGTGGGAGGAAACCGGAGTACCTGGAGTAAACCGGGTCATGAACATGCAAACTCCACCCAGAAGGGCCCCTGGACCAGGATTTGAACCAGGGATCTGCTTGCTGAGAGGCAGCAGCTCTACCAGTTGTGCCACCATGCTGCCCAAGGCCTGTTTCACAAACTCTAATTAAGAACACAGGGTGGGATTTTCTGGTTATCCTGTCCTAATATATTCTTGACTCTATCTCAAAATAGAAGTGACAATTAAGAGGTCTTGGAAATTTGTAATCGCCACCATTATTCTGCAGCTAATAGTATGGTTAACCTCCTGTGCAGTAATCTAAAAACAATCTACATTTTCATCGAGTCTATCAATTACAGGTCCTTCTCAAAAAATTAGCATATTGGAATAAAGGTCATTATTTTCCATAATGTAATGATAAAAATGAAACTTTCATATATTTCAGATTCATTGCACACCAACTGAAATATTTCAGCTCTTTAATTGTTTTAATACTGATGATTATGGCATACAGCTCATGAAAACCCAAAATGCCTGTCCCAAAAAATTAGCATATTTCATCCCACCAATAAAAGACGAGTGTTTTTAATACAAAAAACACCAACCTTCAAATAATCATGTTCAGTTATGCACTCAATACTTGGTCAGGAATCCTTTTGCATGAATGACTGCTTCAATGCGGCGTGGCATGGAGGCAATCAGCCTGTGGCACTGCTGAGGTGTTATGGAGGCCCAGGATGCTTCGATAGCGGCCTTAAGCTCATCCAGAGTGTTGGGTCTTGCGTCTCTCAACTTTCTCTTCACAATATCCCACAGGTTCTCTATGTGGTTCAGGTCAGGAGAGTTGGCAGGCCAATTGAGCACAGTAATACCATGGTCAGTAAACCATTTACCAGTGGTTTTGGCACTGTGAGCAGGTGCCAGGTCGTGCTGAAAAATGAAATCTTCATCTCCATAAAGCTTTTCAGCAGATGGAAGCATGAAGTGCTCCAAAATCTCCTGATAGCTAGCTGCATTGACCCTGCCCTTGATAAAACACAGTGGACCAACACCAGCAGATGACATGACACCCCAGTGACTGTGGAAACTTGACACTGGACCTCAAACAATGTGAATTATGTGTCTCCTCTCTTCCTCCAGACTCTGGGACCTTGATTTCCAAAGGAAATGCAACATTTACTGTAATCAGAGAACATAACTTTGGACCACTCAGCAGCAGTCCCAGGCGAGATGCTTCTGACGCAGTCTCTTGTTCAAAAGTGGCTTGACCTGGGGAATGCGGCACCTGTAGCCCATTTCCTGCACACGCCTGTGCACGGTGGCTCTGGATGTTTCTACTCCAGACTCAGTCCACTGCTTCCGCAGGTCCCCCAAGGTCTGGAATCGGCCCTTCTCCACAATCCTCCTCAGGGTGCGGTCACCTCTTCTCGTTGTGCAGCATTTTCTGCCACACTTTTCCCTTCCCACAGACTTCCCACTGAGGTGCCTTGATACAGCACTCTGGGAACAGCCTATTCGTTCAGCAATTTCTTTCTGTGTCTTACCCTCTTGCTTGAGGGTGTCAATGATGGCCTTCTGGACAGCAGTCAGGTCGGCAGTCTTACCCATGATTGCGGTTTTGAGTAATGAACAAGGCTGGGAGTTTTTAAAAGCCTCAGGAATCTTTTGCAGGTGTTTAGAGTTACGTCGTTGATTCAGATGGTTAGGTTAATAGCTTGTTTAGAGAACCTTTTCATGATATGCTAATTTTTTGGGACAGGCATTTTGGGTTTTCATGAGCTGTATGCCATAATCATCAGTATTAAAACAATTAAAGACCTGAAATATTTCAGTTGGTGTGCAATGAATCTGAAATATATGAAAGTTTCATTTTTATCATTACATTATGGAAAATAATTACCTTTATCACAATATGCTAATTTTTTGAGAAGGACCTGTATATAACAATAAAATATACATTAATTTTCTTTCTTCTCTCATCCTGGTTTACTGAACTCCATTCTGTGATCTCATGGCACCACACAGGCAGAAAATATATCTTTTCATCCTTGATCTAAAACTACTTATTCACTGGAAACATATTTATACCTTTAGTTATCCTTTTAGATCAGGGGTCTATAATCTTTTCAATTAAAAGAGCTGTTTTTGACACGTCTTCTGCTAAACAAAAAGTATAGTTTTGTCCAAGAAAATTACACTTTTCATAGAACCATGTCAACCATTTTTCAGTTTCTCTTATTTGCAGAAAAAAACATTAAGTTCACTAATGTGTTAAAAGGGAAGAAGCATAAAAATAACCAGTAGGACCCAAAAGTCCTCAAAATAAAACCTTTATTTACTGAAACTGCTTAAAGTTTCTTTATTAGCAGCAAGTTTTTATTTCTATTCTTCTTTTTGTTATAAGGATAACCTCTTTTTTTATTTAAACGCTATTTGATGATGCCTTAAAAATACTATAATTTCTGATAGATGCACAAATCGGTCTCAGTTTTATGGCACTTTGCATTAAGTTTGTTGAAAGCTGTAAATTTTCTGGTTGTGTTGGAGAAATCACATCATATAAAATTGCATAGACAAAATCGCTAAACTATTAGCTCAACTTTAAAACTGGTCACCATCTTTTAAACACAATTTGGTGAAAATTAAATTAATCTGAGTTGATTCAGTCACTGATATGAAATATAATTTCATGTCAACACAAGCAGCCCAACATATACTGATAGCATCATCCTGCTGCAGACTTTCATGAACAAATTGTAGAAATTTAGCAATATAAATACCCTTTATAATGGACAATTTAATTCTAGGAAAGGTTTATGTCACGTTGGCTACTTTAGAGGGACAAATAGCCACATGTAGCCCTGGAACGACAGATTGCAGACCCCTGTAAAATAAATACTGTAATTAAATACAGTATTTCACATTTTCTTACAAGGATGTCTCTGTCTGATAAAGAAGATATTTGTAAACATAAAAAATACATATCTTGTACAGAATGACAAAATATTCTGAACTTGGAATAAAATAATTTTCCTCACACTAATTCAGCATTTTATGATTATTATTAATAATCTATTAACAGCAGCACGTAATTTTAGCATTGGCGTTGAGCACAGCAGTGATTGCTTTAATTAAGGTATCACAAAAAAAAAAAAATCGGAGTGTGAGCTCTTCCGTTTGTAACATCTTTGGACGGCGGAGGTTAAAAATAGTTGCTCTGCTCCGCTGGTGCTTAAAGGACGAATAATACCACAATGACAGGAAAGTCTGAACAAAAGTGACATTTTCTGAGGATCGGTGGGAGGAGCGTTTACTTTTTACTCTTTAAAGGGGTTCGCTGGGAACTTTAGGCTGACTTAAAGCTCAAGATTTCATAAGCTGATTTGATTTTACTGTACAACCAGGGAGTGAGAGTTCTGCTTCTTAAATGTAAATAAAGCTTCCAGGTGGAGGAAAGAAAGAAGAAAAAAAAAAAAGACAGTGGGTGAAACCGATACTGAGTCTGGCCACATCCCCCTGGACCAATCAGAGCCGCAGGAGGCTGGTCCGAAACTAAACTGGCAAGAAGAGGAAAATCCTCTCAACTGATAAATCAGTCCTTGGAGTTAAACTTGAACAATTCAAAACAAAACAATAGATTTAATGATAAAACTGAGCACAAGAAAACAGATTATGAGTGGTTTTTATCCTTTACTTAAATAAAATAACAAAATAAAAAAGCTCTATAGTCCAACACGAGTCATTCTACACAAACATCATGTAACGTATAAAGCAAGTACTGAGGCAGCGATATATGAGGTACTGTGTGTAAAGTTACACAGTCAGAAATTAACAGCAATATTTTTGGTTTATTTAGCCTTTCATAAGGAAAAAATATAGTTGTTTTTTTTTCAAAGTCCGATTTCTTACATTTATAAATCTCATAGTTTCAAACTAAATATTTAATTTACAATCTAAATATTTAGTTTACAAATTAAATACTTAACTTGCACGTTAAATATTTAGTTAGTAAGCAGTGTTTAGCTCCACGCTATATAGTTTACAAACTAGGTGTTTATGTTCAAGATGTTTAATTTACAAACTAAATATTGAACTTGCAAGATAGATATTTAGGTCCAAGCTAAATATTTAGTGAGCAAATTAAATATTTAGTTTAGGAATTAAATGCTTAGCTTAGAAATTAAAAATTTAATTTACACCTAAATATTTAGTTTACACACTAAATATTTAAATATTTAGTGTGTAAATTAAACATTTAGCTTAGACATAAACATTTAGTTTGTAAACTAAATATTTAGTTTACACACTAAATATTTAACTTGCAAGCTAAATATTTAGTGTGTACATTAAACATTTAGCTTAGACATAAACATTTAGTTTGTAAACTAAATATTTAGCTTGTAAATTAAATATTTAGTTTGGAACTATGACATTTAAAAATGTATGAATAAAATAGTGAAAATATGACTTTGGGGAAGAAAAAAAATCTTATTAAAGGCTAAATAAACCAAAATATTGCCATTCATTTTTGACTGTGGAACTTTACAAACAGCACCCCATAGCAAGAACCCTTTTGACCGAGCCCCATCATCTGTTCATGGACCTCAGTGCATATTATGCAGCTGCTCTGACAAGTTCACTTTAGGTTACAGCAGGTGTGTTATTGGGTTAAAGTGCAGAATTTAGAGCAAACAGTCGTCCACAGTAGCATAAATGAACTAGCCTCATCTTTAGCTTTTCTCCTCAAGCGTTAATAGTGCAACAGAAGGACACACAGGCAGGCAGAACATCATCCCCCGGTTGTCTTCTTGGTGAAGTTTCTGGTTGTGAGGGGACGTTTTGGAGAATAAAAAGTGAACTGGAAGCAGAGGTCGAAGAACATCAGACACTTGTGTTGTGCAGCGCTGCCACCAGCTGCAGCGAGTCTCTTTGGTTGGAGCCCAGCCTGGTTTGACCGCTCACCTCCTGCCACAGAAGACAGCCGTGGCTGCTCTTGACCTGAGGAGCAGAATCAAACAGAGGGACACGTCAAAATCCTCTAACGCGGAGGAACTGTGAACGTCTTGTGTTCATGTTGGTACAACAATGTTTCCCACCATGTTGTCGATGTCCACAGTCTCCTGACTCGCTCTGTCCAGGTGAATGTTCACGATGGTGGTTTCCACCCAGGCGTTATCTGTGTTCCTGCAGTCATCTGCATAACCTTCACACACCTGAAAGTCACCAAGAAGAAGTCACAAACAAGAGTTTCAATTCAGAGGCGTCCTTTAGAGAATCTCCTGAAGTTCACTCGGTTATGCCTCCATTTAATCATTTTGCCTGTTTGTGTCTTTGGTCTAACTCAAGCATCAGCAGCCTTGATCAAAACCTTACACGATATTTTAAAAAGGATAGTTTTTGTTGTGAAACTATTAGTTTTGTAAGTGTTACAGTAACAGACAAAAGCTAAATAATTTTGCAGAAGGAGCTCTTGTTTTGAGCCCAACTAAATCCTTCCAATGGTTGTGATAAAATATGCCAAATAAATATCACAGTTATTAAAGTTAAAGCACTAAGCTGCAGCCTAACGTCTTAACATTAATACCAATAAGTTTATGTACTTAAACCATTCAATCATTTATTAGAGGCAGGCCTTCATTTAAAATAGACTTTCCCATAAGAAACTAACTGTATGCGTCTATGATGCCACATTTAAAAATATTTATACCACAATAGTTTACACTAAATTAAAATCTATCCAGTTGATGCACAAACTTTTCTCTTCTCAATTTGCAGCAGTTTGTGTTAAAAATGTTGAAATAAATGTGAATTTTCTTATGGATTTAGAGAACGGCTGCACTTTATGTAAAACAAAAGTGCAGATGACGCCTCTGCAGTAGAAATAATCCATTATTTTAAATATTCTTGTGAGAATTTGATTTTTATTCAGACGGTTCTGGTTCTGAATTGATAGGAAGCTGCACACACAGTTCATTAAGAAGAACCGAGTTCCCTCAGGTAGCCTAAAAAACTTGCATTTTTATTCATTTTGTTGGAGAAATTACATGCATACACTGTATATTTAACAAAAAATGAAAAATATTGATTTCTTTTGTAAATGTATGTGCAAAAATGACTCAGGTTCGTGTTTTCAGTCAAACTCATAAGGAGGTGCAGGCTGCAGACCCCTGGTTTAACTGGAAGTGTCTAAAAACTGCCAGTTTTTACACTCTTAACAGCTGAGTCAGCAGATTTACAATCTTATTTCTTTCTAAAAGTGGTCTCAGATCAGCATCGACTTTAGTTTTTTTTTTGTTCCAGTTTTCACTAACATGTCTCAGACCTTGTGTTGCGTTTACAAACCTTGGTTCCTTCTGATAATTTAATATTTAGTGCTTCGTACAGCTTGTTTCCCAGGGTGCTCTTAAGAGCTACAGGCAGGTGATCAGCAGAGTCAATTGGTCCCTAAAAGAAGGGTCAGAAATTGCAGAAATATAAAATGTTTTAATTAATCTTAAAAACCACATGAAGTGGGGACACCTAAAAACTCACCCCAGGTAAAGTTAAACACCCCTGATGCTCATCCCAAACCGCCAGATACTCCAACACTAACCTCTCACTGTCTCGCCACCTGAAAGTTCAGATTTAACCTCAGATCGCAACAAGCTGCAAGCTTTTTAAAGTCCCCTTGAGCCCATGACATGACCTACCGTGTGAGCACAAGATCGAGGTTTGGGTTTGGACCGAGGCGGCTGAGACAACCTCGGCCCACGATGCCCGTCCTGCCCTGTGGATTCCTAACGAAGAGACAATCAATCCATGCTTCTAAAGTTACCGAACGCCTTATATAACGTTAGGTGTACCTTACAGTGTAACCTACCTGTAGCCATGCAAGGTTTCTGGTGACCTGTGATGAAAAGAACAGGTGAAAAGTTTACAAACTGGACAGAAAAAACCTTCTTACTATAGGATGGTTTGATCATCAGAACGTACCTGTTCTTGTTTTCAAAGTCATAATAAGTTGGGTTGTATGAGCTGAAGCTGACCTGACAGAAGGAGGACATAAAACGTCAGAATGCAAAAACCCTAAACAGGCTTTCTGTATTATCACAGACTGCAGGTTTACTTGTGGTTTCTAGAGTTTCTAAAGTTGAACATTAGGCAGAGATTATTATTATTTTGGTTAGGCTTTAAATGTACTTTAAATGTATGTATTTTTCGAACTGTAAGGCGCACTTAAAATTCTTTAATTTTCTCAAAAATCGATAGTTAGTCTTATAATAAGGGGCGTCTTATGTATGAATTCTGGTTGTGCTTATTGACCTCAAACTGATTTTATGTGGTTATTGTGAATGAGTTGAATAAAGTTTGACGTATCTGACTGCTTTGTTTCGCTTAATGCACCTTATAATCCGAAAAATACAGTAACCGATGTCCAGTTTCTGTTCTTTATGCTAGAAGCTTAAGACTTTCCTTTTCAGTAAATCCTATAGCCAGGGTTGGGTCTCCGGAGCTGTCCTTTATTTATGCTGCTACAAGCTTAGACTTACCACATTTCCTCACTTTCTTGATGTTTTACCCTCTCTACTACGACGGAGCTTTTCTACGCTCAGTGTTTCCATTAACTTGTGCTTTTGGTGTGTCTTTGTTTCTTTTCTTTCCTCTAAAATGAACTTTTTAACTACTGAATGGCTCACAAGTCAGAGTTAAACCACCTAAAAAATCATTTGAAAGGCTCAAATTAGGGATGACTCAAGACTTTTGCACTGTACCTCCCAGGGAACTTTCTCCTCAGGCACAGCAAAGCGTGTGACTTTACAGTTGGGGTAGTGAAACTGACGGGCCTTCACGTGGAAGCTGCTTTCTTTCTCTGATGTGTTCTTTAAAGAGCCGGCAGGTTCGTCTGCCCTGGTGAAGGCTGCAGAGAAGAAGGAAAGGGAACGAACAAGGGAAGGTGCATCACATGATGTAACCCAAAAGAAGAAGGAGAAGGATTGACGTGTGGATGTAATGTAACCGACTGTGTGATTGTGATTCCTCTGCAGGAGCTCCCTGAGACATCAGAGTGTCCATGATCCACTGCAGGGCCTTACTGGACTGGACCACCTGAAGAAACAGAACAAACCGAGTCAAATTGTTTTCAGAGTTTCTCAGACAGCGATGGAGAGGTCCAGTTAGAGAATAAACTTGAATGTAGCCAGAAGTGTGGGTGATAACATCTCAACTGCAAGATTAAAAATAAAAATCCCAACCTGCTCCTCTAGTTCCGTCAGTTTCTTCAGCACTGCAGCTGAGCTCATTTCCTTTTCCTTCTCCAGCTGCTCCGTCATGGTGGTGACCCTCCGAAAACAAGAGAAATGTGATTAAACTTCACACGCACAATTAAATTAAATAATAGGTTTCAGTTGGACCCATATAATCATCATCTTTAAGCGTTCTCATAAATATCACAAGAATTCACATATTTTACCCATAATGCAAATAAAATGTTAATAAGGTTCTGATTACATAGAAAGTGACCCAGTAGATTTGACAATAGGTAAAAAAAATACTGTAGTAACTTATTTCATTTAATCAACAAGAGAAAACAAATATTTTGCGCTTATCACTATGATTTACTGTAATTAAATTCAAAATAAATGTTTGTAAAACTTTAAAGCTCTAAAGTGGACTAAAAGATAAAATCTATTCAATTTGAGTTGATTCATTACAAATGCTGCATACCTGGGTTTCTCTGCATATTCTCTAAAATAAACAAAAGGATGGCCCGGTTTTGGAGCTCACGCATGCACTGTGTTGTGCAAGTTCACACTTGATTAAAGTTTAAAGATTAAAGCTAAAAGTTTGGCAAAGTACCTAATGATAAAACTGCTCTCAAACCCAGTGCGGAATGCAGCAGCAGGTCTCCCAACTATCTGCCTGATCAAAATTAATGCTGCGCCTCTTTTAAATGCGCTGCTGTCTGACAGCTAAATAATAATTCATAGCTGGTTGTGAGCGTCACTGCACAATCTGTTCCGGGACAAACAAACAAAAAATTAATTAATTAATCTGTTCCAGGACAGCGGGACCGGAAGCACGATCCATACAGTGCACCAGTACTCAGGGCGCTAGAATGGTGCGCCCAGAATCTTCCTATTTCTTGTAACAAAAATTAGCTAACTGCACATGTACAGCTTTTACCGAGAGTCTATGGGCTAAGATTCTTGCGCCCCCAGGGCGGAAATAGAAATACGTCAGCAATGAACATTTTTAAAAGAAACAACTTAACTCATCATTAACTATAAAATATTTATCTTACACAACAAAATATATATATACATATATTTCAAAATATTTTTATTTTATTATTTCATTTTTACTTAATTTTTTAAGTCTTCATTGTAAGATGGTGAGTGGTTTGAGTGGTGGGGAGGCACCCTAGCACCCCCTATTGACAAGACGCCACTGTCTCATTCACATTTTTATTTGATTTCCCTCCATCAGAAAGCAAAAAAATATATTATTTTAAGTCCTATTTTGTGCCTGAAAAGTGATTATTCACATTTTCCACTTCATTTTTAATTGTGATCATTTAAAGTCTTAATAAGAATGTTTGACTTACAAAATAAATTAAATAAATTAAAGGATCTCTATCCACAAAATTACACCTACAATGAGTAGAGAGGCAGTTTTAAATGGCAGAAGACCTTAAAGTGTTAAGTTACCTGAAAAAAACAACATTAATCCTAAATATGCTAATTTAGATGAGTTTGTTGTCAACAATATGAATCCGACAGCTGAGCGGTGAACTCCCTGCAGGATTTTACTTTTGGGCCGTATCCAGGATGCGTCCCTCCATGCTCTGGCTCAGCTCCTGCTGAGACGACAGCAGGTATCTGTCCTTCATCAAGGCCTCCCAGGACAGCAACTCCTCTTCTTCCATCTGAGGAAGTTCATGCTCTGAAAAACAACATTCCACGATTTGTTTCAAGTTACCACGTGAGAGCAACCAGGACTGCATCACAGGTGTCACCACTTTATGGTTTGCAGCTTTAATCACTTAAATGGAATAAAGGGAAAATAATCACACAATGATTAAAATCTGCATATTAATTCATCAAACATCACCTACCAATGACACCATGACATGCGGGTGCTTAGGGTTTCTGAATGCTGCATGGCAGTCAAGTTTTAACGGTGCTAAAAGTCTTCTCGCACATTTGAAAGTGAAGCCTTACTGAAATCTTTGTGGCTGGTGGGAGAACTCCGCAGCACAACGCTCTTGATGAAATAGCAGAGATGACTGAGAATCATGAACGGTGGTGGCACCGCCGGCCGACTGTGATACTCCTTAATTAACTCGTATCTTTGAAACTTCCAGATTTTGTCCGTGTTGTCCTGGACTTCCTGGAAAGTGAAGCTGCTCGGACCCGAGAAAGAGAGCGGGAGAGAGTGACGAGGTTTATGTCGCAGACTTTAAAACAAGAGCCCATGCACAGAGTAACGCTGAAAACTCACTTAAAGATGGCAATGAGCAGGTTGAGCAGAAGAATGTTGGCAAAGAGCAAGTAAACACAAAGCATGATGATGGTGAGCCACTCAGGGAAGGCTGGTGTGTGGTTTTCATTCAGTCTGGGACATTTGGGCTTCAGAGGATCTGTCCCGTTCATGTTGCACGTTGTTATGTCAAACTCAGTGTCTGTAAATGACAAAATACTGAAACTAGAATGAATGCATTACACATGCGCATCTAAAATAATACAAGACTCAGCGTTCCAGCCAGGAGGAGAACTTCACAGTTTTTCCACTCACAATCTATGTTTGTAGGAAAATTTCCAAATATGATGAGGTACGGTTCGTAAACGGCCCCCCGGACTATCCAGTCCAGGCGGTCATCGTTGTCAATGAGTATGCCTTGTTTGGCGACCCCGTACGCCACCACCCAGATACTCAGCAGAAACAAAAAGAAGAACATATCCATCATCTGGAAGAAAAAAACAACATCAGTTTCACGCAAGAAGAATTTCTGTACAAGCAGCAAGTTCATTACCCTGGTAACCTCACCATTTTCCTCACTATGATGATTTTGGGTCCAAGCGTTCGACTAATTGTGAAGATGGCCATGAGACGGAGGCAGAAGACCACAAAGTCAATGCAGAGGAGGATTTTACCAGCGTACAACAGCTCAGGTGTCAGCCTGAAAAAGGAAAACTTGATGAGTCACAAATGATCCATTGGGTTGAGAGATTTTCTGAGGAGACAGAAAGGATACCTGAACGCCAGGCCTACAGAAAAGAGAAGGATGGAGAGGACGTCCAAAATGTTCCAGAAGTCTTTTATGTACTTTGTAACTTTCTTATAAAAACAAAACCCATCAGGATCATAAAAGAGCTGAGACAGAAAAGAGATTTAAAATCGACACGTTAGGTTTGCGTTTCATTTTTATTTACATTTTACCCAACATTCAAAATTTTGGAATGATAGTTGTTATAAAATTTGCATTAGAGTTAGAATTAACTTCAGACATTAAAATAGTCACCAAAAAGGCAACAGTATGGCATATATGCCTTATGTATAAGAAAATAATCTCTGTTCATTTGTTAATATGGGTGTTTATGACCCTAAACACCCATACGAACAACAACATAAGGCCAAACGTACAATAAAGTGCAAACTGGCAGTGCATGTTTTAACTGAATATTGATATTTAATATCAAAATACTGGATTAAACTAATTAAAATCGTTTTTATTCCCCCCATTAATTCTTTACCTATTTAATTGAAAGGCATCCATCAAAAGGTGATGCGGCACCCTTACTTCATCACCCTGTTCTACACTTGTGTGTTGCAACTACAGCATCTCACCTGCCTGATCTCCTCACACACAAGAGACAGCAGCCAGATGTAGAGCAGCAGCTCACTACCAGACGGCGAGCTCTGGAAGTCCACCAAGAGCACCGCGGCAAACAGGAAGAGGAAGGCGAAGTAAGAAGCAATGTTCCAGTAAAACTTGACCTGTGGAGAGCTGTACAGGCTCGCCAGTTTGGACCAGCAGCTCAGAGGCTTCACCTGCGGCGCGCTGTGGACAGGAAGTTGAAGTTTATTTTTGTAGCACATTTAAAACTGTCCTATTTGAAGTATAAAGGTATAAAACATAAAGCCAACAAACCAGCAATAAACAAAGAAGACAGTAAACATCAAATAAAACCCATAAAAACAAACAGATAAATTAATTATCACAATAAATGCTCATAAATCCTGCTGAACTAGTTCTGAAAGCCAGTAAAAAGAGAAGTTTTAAGCGATGACTAATTATTATTTCATTATTATTTTATTATTTCTAATGATTATTTTCAAGACAATGGGACCTAAGACAAAGCCTTGAGGTACCCCAAAATTAACTGAGACTAACCTGTATAAATAAAGGTTGAATGAAATTTTTTTTTTTTATTATTTTAGATTTAAATGGCTTTTGTTGTGTTTACTGCATAAGTTAAAGAAGTTGATCTTATTTATGTTTTTACCATATTTAAACAAATGCCTAAATAACAGTGGGCCTGTTCGTTGCTACAGGCAGATACATTTGAACATCATCAGCAAAACAGTGAAAGGTCATGTTTTAATAATGAACCCCAAGGGAAGCAGGTACAGAAGACAATGGGGCCTAAGACAGAGCCTTGTGGTACCACAGAAGTAAGTGGGGACACAGTTGAAGAGTTCTTCCTTAACTGGACAAAGAAGCTCCCATTTGACAGACAGATACTATATTTGAAACAATATTATAAATTAAACTTTTTCTGTAAAAATTTATACAAAGACCAGGTAGAGCCATGCCATTTTCAAAACACATTATTGATCAATTGTTTAAGAATAATTATGTACATACGGCATAATGTGATTTGCCCAATATGAACTTCCTGTCACTGTCTCCAACGTTCTCATCTCCTCACGCTTCTCAGTTTCTCTCTGGATGAGTTCATCACGTCTGGAATCACAGTGGCAGTGGCATTAATCTGTTTTGAACTCATGTAGCTGCAGTTTTGACATGCTGAGTGTTAATTTAGGAAACAACTGACCTGAAAACCAAAAATCCAGTGTAGATTAGAGGAAAGAAGACCATACAGATCAGCACTCTCCACACACGGTTGTCCACTGAAAGCTCGCCACACCAGATCTGAGTCAGCAGAGCCTGAGAAAACGAACAAATACTGCTGCTAATTCTGTAAACCACTGCTATATTATTGTTGAGGCCAATAACCAAAAAATAGTTAACTACCAAGTTAACCAGACTAACTCTAGACATGAAATAAGCTTATGTTTTCAACATGGAGGAATTATTAAAAAAATTATCGTAATGTAATTATTTAAACATTTAATGTCATAAAAGGCATACATTTAAAATATTCTTGCTCTATGTCTCTGTAGTAATAAAAATAAAATAAAAAGTGTAATTTTGCTTCACCTGAATGCCTGATTGAGCCACAAAGTTTTTATTATCAGCCTCCAGCGCCAGCCGCAGGCACGTTGTTTTACCCCAAAAATGTGAGACCCGAACCAGCAGCTTCTGAGCGCGCTCCTCATCACTGTCATAGCACTCGCTGAACACACCTGGGACACGGGACAAGAAAAGGTAATGATGAGCACCAACCATTGGCAGAGCAGTGCTTTTTGGCCAAGGCTTTTTCAGGGAAGCACATTCAGACACTGGAAACTATTCCATTATGATGGAACATTCACATTATAACTCAAAAACCTTATTAACGTCTTAAAATATGAAAATAAAAAACAGAAGCTGCATAGAGCCTTCATTGTTGACCATACTGTACAACTTTGCATTGTTCCATGTCAATGCTTTGTTAAAGAATGGCCACCAGAGGTCACTATTTCTAATCAATTTTGATGTTTTATACTAATTCAGGGGTTCAGAAAAGCTTTTGTTTTCTTCATCACACTGATAGCTCCTCTCCACACCAGACAAGATAGCTGCTGGACAGATATTTACTCTGTTTTCATTGTTTACTAATCATGCATCTTTCATTGCCACATGGAGAGGCCAATCAGATTTCAGGGGGGGCAAGTGCCACACCGGCCACCCCTCTGGCTCCGCCCCTGGCACCAACCCTGCTGGGAAAGCCTCTCTTTATTTCCGTTTCGTACCAATTGCGTGTTTTTCATAATAATCGGCGAGCTCGAGCATTTCCTGTGCCTCATCTGCATCTCTTCCTTCTTCTGCCATTTTCTTCAAAATCTTACTGGCAGCCAGAGCAGCAGACATGCAGTCTGTACACTGTGATCACACACAATCAGAGTTGTTAATCCACAAACCACACAAGTAACTTTTATTTATGTGTCTGACCAAGGGTTTAGATCACCTGCTCCCAGGCTATTTCAGCCAGCTCCTTGTTGTTCTGGACAATAGTCCAAAGAAAAAGGTCTCTGGCTGCATCCCTCTGAGTTTCAGGTTTGTCCTCCTTGAGTGGAGTCTGAGAAGCTGCCTGGTCTTGACACTGCTGCAGGTAAGGAGCAGGGAAGGAATACAGAGTGTATATTTTTATACACAAAGTGAAGCAAAATACTCAGAAATGTTTGTTACGAATTTTTTGATACAATTTCTTCTAAACTTTTAGTCTTTGCTGGAAAATTAAAGTTTCCACTACAGCCTCAGACAATTTAAGTTGTCTAAAATTTTGGGAAATAAAGTGATAGAGACAGAACCATAAACAACACAGTAAGTCAGTCATTTTAACCATTTACACGGATTATTAAAATGTAATGTATTGTAAATTAAATCTGTGTTTGCTCTCTCAACATTTCTAAGTATCTAATGAATTTTAAGAGGTCAGTGTATAAATGCTTTAAACTTACAGTTTTGGTTGTAAACGCTTTAAATTAATAACACACAATTATAAATGGCTTCTACACAATGATGCAATCTCAGTATTTGGCAAGATCAAGGGCCATACTATTTATTTTTCATAGTAAATCTTGCATTTTGCTTTTTTCCAGCTTATTTCATTTCTCATTGGGCTTATTTATAATAAATGTTTAGAAAATCTAGCATATAATGAGTTCTTATCAACTAAATTAAAAAGATACGTTTGGCACTCTTGAGTTTAATCAATGTTATGGTAATTATCTTCATTTGCTTTTTAGAAATTATAGTTTCCCTCTAAAAAGGACATCTTTTGAAAAAAAATGTCCTAAATTTAAGGTCTGACTCGGAGCAAAAATTGTGTTTCTGCCCACAGGATTTCTTTACTAATTAGTTGATTTTTTACACTTAAGCAATTAAAAACGACTCCACTTCCTCTGAACAAATTTCAAAAAGACATTTATCTTATTTTATCTAATTTAAAAGAAAATGGTTTGAATGTAGTAAAATTGTCCACATATACAGTAGAAAGCCAATGAATCTAATTTATTTTTGACAGATAAAAGAAAAATATTTTCCTCACTGAAACTGGCATGTCCTTTATGAACATGTCCAGTTGGTACATCATGGTGGAGGGAGGATAGATGGGCTTGGTGAATCGTCCCAGCAGGTGATGCACCTCATCAGAGACGTGGGTTAAGCAGATCCTTTCACCTTGTCTTGCGTTACCTCGAGCCCTCAGGGCGAGCCCTTTCTTCTTGCTGCGACCAGCACTTTTGACCCGCTTGGCCAGCTTGCACAGAAAGAAGCAGCTGGGCAGCTGGTTGTAGAGCGCACACAGAGTTTCTTCATCCTGCAGGAAATCCCTCAGACTCACTCCGTTCTCCTGCAGAAGACTCACAAACTGAGGCCTGTTGCTAACCAAGGCTGAGAACATGGCCCAGTGGAGGTCGCTGGACTGAAGAATGAAAGACACGTTTTCTTTTGAGTGGGAAGGACGTCTGACAGCAACAACAGTTGGAAGATTTTTTTAAATAACAATTTGACTGAACTTTATGATGCCTGACATTATTATTCCTAACAATTTCCTAATATGCTACTCAGTAATCTGACTGCCAAGTGGCCAGACACCTTTTGAATCTAAATCAGCATTACTATGAAAAACCAAAGCATAGTTAAGATCCTTTGAAGTGGGAGGTTTATAGAAAGATAATGAACAATTAATATCTTACCTGTTGCAGACAGCTCTTTGAATGGCCCCAGTTTGGAGAAGTAGATTAGTTTTGAGCTAACAGCTGGTCCTAGCTGGACCTCGACAAGCTGCTGTCTTAAAATAATGCTGGTCACAAAGATTGTATAGACATTACATGATTATTGACATAGAACGGATGTTCCTTAGCATGAATAGTGAACTTCTAGTCTTAAAAACAACTTCAATCATAAAAATAAAGTGCTTCAAGCCAGGGCTGAGACGCCTTCTGGCCGTCTTGGTGCAATTTATGAAAAGATGGAGGCAGCACAGGGGGTTGTAGTTAACCAACGGCCGAAACACCTTGAAGCCTCCAAGCGAGGAGGTAGTAACAGCACCCCATCAGTAGACACATGAAAAGAGAAATGGCACAAAGGTGTGCGGTATGTTGTAATAGTGTTAAGTGAGATTTCACAAATACTCTATGGCAAAGGGGGAGTTTGAAACCAGTGCATCTTTTTGCACCTCTTCCCCTGGTTTATAATGAATTGCGGAAATTACTTGCATTGTATGTAAATGTGTTGTGTTTGGGATGGAAGCCACACGATGAAGAGACCTAAGGACAGAACGTGAGATAACCAGAAGACCTCACAGTGATTTAATCAAATGAATTAACTTTTGAGATGGGACTTAACTTAAGGCAGTTTAAAACTGCCTCAGAGGACCCTCTGAATATCACTTGAACTGTATAGGCATTCAATGTGTGTCCTTTGTTGCAAGAACAGAGTGCTCTTAATTAAAATGGGCAGAATCCTGAAATTTGTTTTAAAGTGACTTTAACCTGTGTGCTGATGGTCGATGGTCTGTGCGACCAGCCGGCTGCAGGATTCAGAATGATCCGACATGCTATCAACACCACTGAGTTACACACCATACCTCTTTGGATTTTTGTATGTTGGCTTCATTAATTTAAGTGCACATCTTTGCAGGAAGAGAGCAGCTTGATTGTTCATTAAAAAAACAACAACAACATAAAATAAAAAAAAAAACAGCCAGGGACAGCATAAAAAGGGATTTGTCTTTGCGGTCATAGTGCAGAAATCTTTTTCCTCTTTAGACTGAGGTTGCTCAAAGAACCATCCACAACAGGTAAAATACTTATTGTTCGTCTTTCTGCAAAAACCCACCATAAAATATCTGAACCATTGCTTTTATTTCACAAACTCTATGAGATGTCCCTGTTCACTACCACCAGAATGGCACATTTTCTCAGTTATTTAAATATTCTTTCATTATTTCATGTCTAACAGTTTTGGAAAAGCTTTTTATTTCACGTGAGACAGAAGTGATGGGAGTAAACCTGCCTTCCACTGGCTTTCCTCTGTGAAAATCTCAGTCTTGGCTATGTCCACTCGGTTCCAGGTTATAGCCAGTTCCAGCTGCCTCTTCCAGGACTCTGTTCCTCGTGACTCACTTCCCCTTGAAGCTGAGTGGAGGATTTGCAAGAACAGTTAATGTCTTTAGATTAGATCAAAATATAGATCAGACATGACTCCGTTCTCTTTCACAGGAAAAAGTTTACTGTGTTTTTTCCAGCAAGCACTAAAATAAAATCAATTTGTAGAGAAATGAATGTCCGCTTGACTCTTGAATGAAAATTTACATCAGTTTTTCAATGTCAACATTTTCTTCCTGTAAGTATAAAGTTATTGAAACATGCACAACCTTAATAAAACAGTTTAGGTTGTGGGAAGCATAAGGCCTCATTTCAAGTTTTTATAAAGAAGAGGACAATCCGTACCCAGAAGTGTCTCTGTAAGCTGGATTGTTCTCTCTTAATGTAATTTAAATACTTTCCTTTTATCTCAGCAATCAAATCAAAGTGTTTTAGCCAAGGTGATTTATCATCATAGAAAACATTAGGGGAGAATTCAATGTGATGGACTCACATTGTTTTAGTGCACAAGGCTTTCTGTACACAAAAAGCACAAGGGCTGGTCTACATGGGATTTGATGAGTCAGGATCAGTTTGAAGGAAGTTTTATTTACATCAGAGGCTATCAAGTTCATTTCTTAAGAACCAGTGCCCATTAAAGTTATATACATTATACTTGGCATCTATATTTAGTTTTCCGAGAAACTCTATAAAAATGTGGTTTTCCATTAGTCCTTTCCATTTTCGTACCTAATGCTGCGCTTCACATCCCTACTGACCAGTCAAACATTTCTAATTACCTTTGAGAAGTGCCTGAAGGATGGCCACTTCCACATCTCCGTAAGTGTCTTCATTTACTCTGAATATCGTCAACAAATGAGACATTCTGATGATGTCTTGAACCTGTGAAAGAAAGCCGACAGAGTCAAATATTATGAGGTTCCCTTAGTGCCAAAAATATGTTTAAGTGTCTATGTGAAGTGTGTATATAGCGTGCTGTGTATATGTAAGGTGATATGTTAAATGATATGTTAAGAGATATGTTAAGCTCATATCACTTAACATATCACCTTACATATACACAGCACGCTACATACACACTTTACATAGACACAAACATATTTTTGGCACTAATGGAACCTCATAAAATATGCTGATGCATGCTCAATAATCCAGGTAAAAAAAATTAAAAAGTTAAGTCAGGTCCTCTGGACATTACAAAAAAAAAAGCAAAACAAACAAAAAAGTAAAAATGTTTCGTCTTTCATCCGAAATACTTCTTCAGTCTGAGGTGCAGCACTTCAGACTGAAGAAGTCTTTCGGATGAAAGATGAAACGTTTCTACTTTTTTGTTGTTTGTTTGTTTTGTTTTGCTTTGTTTTGTTTTTTTGAATGTCCAGAGGACCAGATTTAACTTTTTTTAGAAACCTCATAAAATATACACCGCTTAAAGCTGACGCTCGTGGGAAACCCATTACAGTGAATTTACTTTTGCTTTCAGACCTTAAGACTTTTTGCAAAAACATTTCATTGGTGTTTAAGAGACACAGTGCATCAGTAAATTTAGTTAACTTTGAAAGCCTTCACTACCTGTTTTGAAAAGTAAATTATGAATTAAAATATAATTGTAGTCTTAAAAGCTTGGGTGTGCACTCTCTGCATTCTGAGGTGATTTGAGAGAAAACAAGTTTTATAATCGTATGAGTCACATTGGGGGGAAAGAAACAAAAAAATGCTTACATTTTGATGTATAATTTGTATATGTCCAATATAAATGTTTAATTTAAAAAGCTGAAAAGTTAAAGTGCGAGTAGCCAATTGAATATACTGTGAAAAAAACTGTTTGGGTAAAAGATGTTAAAAATTTTAAACGCTAGTCCAGACATGTTCAGTTAAACTTTGTTAAAACTCATAAGATTATTTTTTTAAGCTATAAAGCTCTGAAGAAGGCTGGGAATTATTCACCCATTTTGCCATAAAATCACATTGTTGTCTATGGGAACAATTCATTTTTTAAAATTATTTATTACGTTGTATGGCACGTCATTACCAATAGTCATTGCACACTGTTCTCAATACAGCAACATGATGTGATATTTTACTGCTGCAAGATCTGAAAACAGACAAAAATTGTGACGAAAAGTGAAGAAAATTGTAGTAAGGGTGACCCATTAACATATGCATTGCACCCTTTACCAAAAATCCACATTTTTGTACTGTCGCCACAAGTTGGGGTGAAAATTCCAACATTTCATGCATGTGAATTGGTACATGAGGTTTTGACTAACCTTTTTGGTCCATTCAATAATCTTGAGCTCAGAGAAACTCTCATATTCCTGACCAAAACACTTTTTCATCAGCTGGTGGATGAGGGCGATAGTGACCAAGCTAACAGGGAAGCCTGAGACATGAGCGATGACATCTGCGATCCTCCCTGAGCCCTCAAAGACCACACATGGGGTGCCGTTCAGCATGGCGTTATAGATGGTCTGAGGAGACGCAAATGGAGGTCAGCTCTGAGATCACGCTAGGATGGAAAGAGAGGAAGCAGAGTGCTGACTCACATTCAGCGTGCCTGGTCCTCCATTCAAAACTACACACACCACTGGAATGGTTACCCTGCTGTCTGGATGAAAAACAGTGAAAGACAATAATTAAAGAAAATGGGCAAGATAAAAAAAAAAAAATTTTTTTGTAAAGCTTTCCATAAAAGCCTGCTGACATTAGATGCTTTTAACCTTTGTTTGCCAGATGCTTCCTGGAGATGCATTTCTCTAAACGAGTGCGCAATTCGATCTCCACTCCGTAGTGTCCGTGTGTCCCATCATCAACCAGCAGGAAGTGGGTATGATTGTTGTCTAGACAGGACAATTGGCCTTGACCTTTAGTGTCCATCACATAATGAGCAGGGAAACGGCCCTGCAGTAAAACAGAAGAAAAACATGAACTCAGTAAACTTTTGGCTGATAAAAGTGCGTAAACGTATTCATCATAAACTTATTCATCGTAAACTTATTCATCATAAATGTATTCATCGTAGACGTATTCATCGTAAGCGTATTCATCGTAAGCGTATTCATCGTAAGCGTATTCATCGTAAGCGTATTCATCTTACGTCTTTATGCACTAAATCCTCCCCGTTGTGAATTACTCCCCACGTTGCCACTCCGATGACCACTAACTTGTTTCCCTGCATGGCGCTGCTCAGGGCATAGTCCTTCACAGCCTGCCCCACATGCTTCATCACACCTGCGTGGGTACCGCCTGTGATGATCCACGCACCTGCAAACAACACAGCATAAATGCAATTGACACATTGTTGGATTTTAAAGTTGCTATTTTGGGGATGAAGGTATTTAAGTAGCACTTAAAGGGTCACACTTTATAAACTACATAAAGAGGTTGTGCAGTTGGAGCTATTTAGACCTCGATTTCTAGAGTTCTTCAGTTATATTTGCCAAAATGATTTGTATGTCTACGTTTGAAAACTAAAATCTTCTGCTATGAAGCTCTCAAACCTTATTCTATAAAGATCTGTCCTTGAACCATTACAATTCTGGTTACATATGTAGATGTTTTCACTTTCTATTGCAGAGGCCTAACTGTGAAGTATGAGTGTATGCAGATGATACTGTAACTTATATACAGTGCCTCTAACAAGTTTGCTTCCAGGATTTCCCTATTTTAGCGCTTTACAGCTCCTCCAGAGCTACCATGTGGCATCTTAGCTGATCTCAGATTAATGTATTTTTGCCTGGCCTGTCAGTTTAGGTGGATGGTCATATTTAGGTATTTTTCCATTTTCATATGATGGATTGAACAGTGCTCAGTGAGATGCTCAAAGTTTGGGGTATTGTTTTAAAATTCAAGCGGTATGAAAATTATTCCAAGGCACTGTATAGGGAAAGAGCATGAAGCAAGTTACAAACGTGTTTAAACTTCATGCTTCATGTAACATCATGTTTAAAGCAGTTGTTTTCAGCAAATAATTTTCCCAAAACAGTTTTTATCTATTGTAGTGTTTGTATGAGGGCAGAGCCTACATCATATCTACGGTAAATACACGTATCTCAAGAGTTAAAATTAAAACCAGGCAAATCCATTAAAACTAGGTCTCTCTTGTAAATGAGTCCCTGAGGATGAATGGGATTAACCTATATAAGTAAAGGTTGAATGAAAAAAAATTGTTTGACTTTAATTTAAAGTTTGGGCAACAAATGTTTATGAGATAGTCTGATTTAATCTCTCTATTTTCAGGCTGCTTTTGAAGTTAAATGATTATGATCCTTGATACTTTATGATACTAAATGTTTTGTTTAACCACCTGACCTCACGCTGGTATTATTACTACCTTAAAACCACCTTTAAAACATTACATCCTTTGAATAAGCAAGCAATTAAAGTTCCTCGCAAAAGAGAGAGGGGGTCACATTATCAGGAATATTATATAGAGTCAGTCTGCGTTTACTGTAAAGGCTGCACTGGATTAACCACATTCATCTTGTCAGCACTGGCACCATGGCTGAAAGCTGTATATTTGATATTGTTTTAAGCTGACCTGTATTCTGGGCCATTTTGATGAGTCCTCTGTGGAATATATTCTTCAGTCGAGTCTTCAGGTTGAAGTTTTTGGCTCCTCCGGACACTGAGATGAGCAAGTTGGGAGGTGAGAGTTTCCACTGTTCGGTCAGTAAGTGGTACAGGTCTTCAGGGCTGGTGTCTGTAGACACTCGGGCATACTGGACACAGACACAAAGATCAGGGTGAGCACCTGCAGAGATGCATTTAAACATAATGGATGCTAGAGCAAGGAATAATTCACTTTGCTAATCGTTCGCCTCAAACCATCAAAGCTGACGTCTCCAAACGCATCGGTGGGCACTTCATGGATATGTCTGTGTCTGTCCCACGTCTCCCCGGTGAGCTCCTCTGGCTTAATGGCTCCGACTGAATGCTCATCCTTCAAGTAGCCACACTTACAGACATCATCTCTAGTAGAGAAACACAAACGAGACAAGTGTTTTATTTACAGAGTTCAGCGACACCAGTTGAGACATGAAAATGTGACATTCGTTATGCACAGATTTTTCTGGAAAACTTCCAAATCAGTTTTACTCAACCATCAGGACTTTTCAGACCACTGCATAAAAAACACCAGACACACTGAAATGGCGCCGCAGATTTGTCATTTAGGACGTTTTTTTAAACTTATTTTGTCCATACAAGATAATTTAGGATGCAAAATGTAAAAAACTATTTTAAAAAATCAGAAAACAAATATTTTAAAAAGCACTTTTATTATTATTTTTTTTTCTGCACAAGTTGCAAATCCTTGAGGTATAAATATTTCCATTCAGCTGTAGCACGCAATGACACTGCAATCATTTCAAAATATTCTGCGAGGGTCTTCAGCATCCTCACAGCATTAATGGAACATCGTGGGGTCAGTTTAAAGACCACCACATAATTACTGGGAACACAACTCAGCTTACCTGGCATCCCTTTGAAAATAGCAACATTCCTTTTTGTTGATGTTTTCCTTGATCCATGTAGCAATGGCATAAGGCTGAAACGAAGGGAAGATGGAGGGGCATTTATGAGAAATGGTCCCCGCATGGTGAACCATTCGTATCTCGAGCTCTGGTTCATTCATCCTGGATCGACACAGAAAGCTGTGCCGGTCGGCTCTGAATCAGGCCGACAGCAGCAGGACACGATGGGAGCAGCCTCTGCAGTGGGGGCTGGATGACTGCCAGCTCTGTATCAGTGATATCAGTGATGTCAGAGCTGAACTGCTGCCGATAGGCCTGCAGAAACTTGGCATAGTAGCCAAAGTTAATGTACAGGACAGAGTAGGCCGGTCCAGACTCAGGATACATGGATGACTGCTGAAACTGGGAAGAAATTACTCACTAGATTCAAATCTGAAACTTGCTCCATAGATCCAACAATGTTCAGCCAGGTCATCTGGATGGTTTATTTTTTTCTAAGACATGTCGTCCTTCATCCAAAATACTTCTTCAGTCCAAGGAGCCACAAACAAACTGGAGTCCCACAAGCAGCACACTCCCATAGTGGAAATAAAACAAAACAAACAGTTTGCTGGTAATAAGATGGTTTCTGGAAAATGCTTCTGGAATTAAAAAAAAATCCACTATTGGATTGTGGTACTTGCGGGACTCCAGTTTGTTTGTGGCTCCTTGGACTGATGAAGTCCTTTGGATGAAAGAAGAAATATCTCAGCAAAAAAAAAAAAAAAAAGAAGGAACCATCCAGATAACTTGACTGAACATTGTTGGATGTGTACCTGGATCATTGAGCATGAACTTTGGTGCTCCACAGCTAATTTAATAAAGTATCGTAAATATACTTTAAAGTGAAGAACATGTTCGATAGAAATATCCAAAACTTCTGCAACTATCCTTTACTTATATATAACTTTACTTAAAAGGATTTTACACTTTACACAACAATGACAATATATGTGATGTGACTGAGTACAAGATGAAACATAAATTGAACATGTAACATTTGTAAGGTGGATCATTTTACTACTTTTAACGTTACTGCTGTTCTTTTGAAGTTCAAGTTCAAATAACGTTAAATCATTTAAATGGATACTTTTACTTCATGTTCTGCATGCTTTAAAACTCTTAACAATATATTTTCAGGACACAATAATGATTTTCAACATATATCTGCAACCATTACTACAGATAACTGTGAAATGTACTCATGCCAACTGAATCTCTTTTCTGTCCGTTTGGTAAAATATATATATTTAGACGGTAATAAAGTTTTAAGTTTGAGAATTTATTTAAAGCAAATAAATACGCACTCACCTTTTTAAAACCGTAAGGTGCTTTCTGTTTAACTTTCTTCTCCTGCACATTCTCGATCGTTTGCCGTGGATGAACTTTGCTCTCAGATTTAGATGTAAGCATATTTGGATGAAGTGAAAGCGTTAAAATAAAATAAAAAAAAATCTTTGTAAACATCTGGGTGGAAGCAGCATCCAGAGCACATTTCTTGTGAACGCTGAGGAGAGGTGGTGTGCGTCTTATCTGCAGGGAGACTTGATTATTCTGACATAAATTTGATCTTGTGAACATGTGACCTGCGTAGCGTGTCTGCACCTTCCACTGAGCTCTCTGTGATTACAGTACTCCAGCTGAGAAGAAAAATGGTTTAATTAAGGATCAGACATAATTAAAACCAGTTTGTATAAACTTTAAAAAAAACACTGGTGTTAAAAAAACAACCTTTAAACAGAGTAGGCTTCAGATTTCAACTTTCTGAAACATACAACGGAGCATTAAGCCTACACAGTCATTTCCCCTCGAAATCACACCATGCATGTAACTAAAACTAGGCCTGTCACGATAACAACTTTTGCTGGGTGATTAATTTTCTCAGAAATTATTGCGATAAACGCTAATATTGTCAAATTTAAGTAGAAATTTTGGTTAATTTGTTTTGTGTGTAGTACCTTTTTTCAACCACTGGATGTCAGTATAAGACTGCCTGAACTGAAGGATGGATAGTGAGGGAGTGAGCAGCATGTCTCTTTAGTAAAAATGGGAGGGAGGCCCCTTGACGTGACATGGGTTGTCTGTCCTTCATTTTTTTCAGTTCTCCAAACGGTGGACACCCGGTGTGGTTTGAGCTCTTTAGCATAGCATTTTTCATACAAAGCTTTTAATTAAAAAAAAAAAATTAGTAAACAAGTTCTCAGCTTCTTTTTGCAGAGAAAAACAAGTTTTTACACGAAGGCACCAAGGCTGGATTAGAAACTCCAGGGGTCCCTGGGCACTGAAGCTCACAGGCCCCCCTCCTTAACCTAACACCAGGGGCGATTCTAGGATTTGACCTTTAGGGGTGCTTAGCCCCCAGTGCTGAAAATGGCTCTTTGCTTGAATGACACGGCGATCATATAAGTTCAATAGTAAACAGTTATTTCAATGGATCAGATGACTGTTTCTTAAACTTCTGTTTTGTTTCTGAACCATCACAGAAAACAAAGGCAAAAGGTCTATAAACTGAGAAGACAAGAAAAAATAAGACAGAACTTTATTGTTCCCACAGGAAGTTGTTGAAGGGCTTAATCATAATGATTAGAACTGTCCAAAATAAGTGAAAAATAAATTAATATTGCATGACAAATCTAACATTGTATCACTTTTTGGGTTTTAATTCTCTGATAAAGAGTACAGCAAAAGCAAAAGTCTAATGCAATAATTGCTCTGAAGTAGGCTGGGGAAGATTAAACAATTTTATAACCTGAAAAATAATACATCTAAGTAAAAGTACTGTAGTGGTATTTTACCATGAATCCAGGTGACTGACTGTGAGTAGTTTCACGACTGCAACAACAGAGTATATCTTAGAAGTTTTAGCGTACCGTTTAAAGTACAGTTTAGCATATCTTAGATCCTTATATACCTTTACTTTTTATATTTTATACTTTTGCTATTTTTGGATGTAACTGGGACCTTGTGTACATAATTTTGTTCTACCTCATACCACATGTGATGTGAATGACAATAAAGAAACTTGAACATAACTGACTGTTCTTGCCTTCATGGCTCAAAAAACATTGTCCACAAGGTAGATGGTGGTCTAAACATTTTTAAAAGCTTTTAATGTTGATCACACATATAAATCAAATGTATCAATCAAAGGCAAATAGATTAATAACTTGTTTGTAATTCACAATTTCAAATAGTCAGCAAATTGCCATTAGAAAAAAAGGTGCAGATAATATGAGTCTCCCTCATAAATGTGTTTAAAAAATATATATGCAATGGTCTTGACGATTGTTTTTTATTTCTAACCTGGTTCATCTTGCTCTCTCTCCTGGGCTCGCTCTCTATCCTCCTCTCCTCCTCCTTGTGCTGTCAGTGTCAACCAGTAAGTAATGTCAATAATTTATCAATCCAATAAGTACAGGCAGGTTACACTCATCAACATTATATTTACATGTTTGCTTTTTTAATATTGGGTTACTAGGCTGCTCAGTGGGGATGTTTTATATTCCCTTACCTGAACCTGGCTGTGGTGGGCCTATTTTTTTTAAAGAAAGAGCGAATGTCCATCTATGGAAAAGTAGAAATTATGGGTCAGGGTTCTGCTGTTCCACTGTTTCAGTTCACTCTCCATGAGGTGGGCCTATCAAAGTTAAAGTACAAATCAAATTTCTATTCACAGGCAAACAAATGTAGCTTAAGGTTAAACTTTTTTTTAAAAAGTCACTAGTAGGTCTACATATAACGCAGTGGCATAAAGTAGGCTACCTAACTTTTTAATTTCTAGCTAGCCACCACAGTTTAAGAGATGTAGTGTAAGCTAACTTTAAGATAAAAAAAATCACTAGTCAATATGAAATGGAGCTGTAATAAGTTGCAACATATATCTACATTAACACACAAAACAAAGCACAGCTAGCTTTAGCATTAAACTTTAATTACCCATATAGTATATATATATATATATATATATATATATATATATATATATATATATACGAAGTGATTATGACAGAAAATGGAGGATTTTACTTGCAGTTACTTTGTACAGGTGAACATGAGGTATTTTCTGTTGATCACTGTTAAATTCAGCTGCTCATGAGGTCGGCCGCTGGACTTTAGACATTTTTTCCAATGATATATTTTTTAAATGAAATCGCTCAGACCGCAAATCGATCGTAATACAAAACCCCGACAACGCAGTCAGATAAAAACATGCAGCGCCTGAAGGTAAGGGGCGTTCCCTTTGAGACAAATGCGATCACCGATTGGTTAGATGAGGAGCTTACTGGAATGATTGACAGCTGGCGCTCAGCATCCGACTCGTAAAAAAATAAATCATAGATTTTACTGGCCCGTTTAATGCGTGTCATTCCATATTTATTCAAGATTTTGGTGAATCTAAAGTTTAAGAACCGAGTTTCCTTACAAAATGGTTTTCTAAAATTTTTAGGGGTGCTAAGCTAAAGTTTAGGGGTGCTTCAGCACCCCTAAAAAGAGGCTAAAATCGCCACTGCCTAACACCAATTTTATGACCCGTGATTCTGATTTGAAACACGTGCCTTCAAGGCAGTCGAGAGACGCGAAGAAACGATAAAGCCGATAAATGAAAATGAGCTTGATAATTTTAATTGATAACGCGATTAATCAATTTATTGTTTATCGCGACAGGCCTAACTAAAACATCCTCTTAACGAGCCGGGCAATTAAAGACCTTATGGCTCTGTAGTGGGAAGGGATGATGGAATGACTGAAAATCTACACCACCAGTTATTTCACGCAAAAACAAGTTGTGGTGGAGAAACTCCCACAGTCATGGTTCATGCCTCTCGACAACTCTAAATTGTCCCTAGGTGTGAGTGAGAGAGTGAATGTTACTTGTCTCTGTGTCCCTGCGATGGACTAGAGACCTGTCCAGGGTGTCCCTCACCTCTCGCACAGCGATGGCTGGATACGGGCACCAGTGACCCGAAAAGAAAGAAGCGGGTAAAGATAAAGGATGGATGGAAATTTATTATATGTTGACTAAAATAAAGTTTAAAAAAATTATATCATGTTCAAGCTAAATGTGCTCAATTATTTGTTTAAATTTTAAGGTTTAGCTCTTTTTGTGAAACTGAAGATGTTCCCATAGTAGTAAGAGATAAAATCTGCTGCTGGTTATGGAGAAAAGATAAAAGCTTGTAAGAAAGTCAAAATTCAGTGTCTCATTCTTCAAATATAAGAAACGAAAATCTCTCATCCTTTGAAATTTGGACTTACCAATGGATTAGTTTGAAAACTTTTTCAAATTTACATACTTTGAAATGAACCCTGTTAAACAAATGAATCCAGAATTAGTCAATATATAATAAATATACCAAAAATGTAGCTTTTTGTACAATGACCTTTTCAAGTTGGATGACTAATGGCAGACATTTGACCCTTACATACCATTAGTGTCAATTTGGACATTTGAAAAGCACTAAAATACCTTAAATGCCATTCCTTTAACATAAAATTACTCTTCCTGAAGCAACACAAAATACACAAATAAATACATGCGTTTTGTACTTTTCTACACCATAGTGTTATATATTAAAATTAATTTTAGATGCAGCACTGTGGGTCAAATTGAGAAAAAAAATATGTTAGTTTTAGGAAACCTGTTTCCACATTTCTCAAGTTCCTGCAGAAATGAGCTAGTCTGACGGTCTTTAGACAGGGGAAGACTCACACTGCCTAAGAGTGATCGTGCACTGACACATATTGATCAGATTGCTTTGTTGCATTGCAGATGCAGATCCTGTGATCTGAGGCCTCCCTCTGACCTCTATGCTTTGGTTTTGCTATGGAGGACTTTGATCAGCTTCTACTCTGTGTAACTGACAAAATCAAAAAGGCACCCGAGCTGTCACTTTAGAGACCGAGGTGGTGTCGGCAAGGATTCGGTCTTGGGTCTGATCTTTTAAAATAAAGAAGCAAACGGCAAATTAGAAGTGGAAGCAGGAAGACATGGATGAAAACTCCCTCTGATGAAGACGGCTTTGAGGAAAAGGAACAGGCGACGGAAACAGCGAAAAATCTTCATTTGAACGACTCCAGGCCAAGACAGGCTACTTCTGACGTTCTCACACTCCTGCTCTTTGTAAAATCTACTTTAACTTCATATATTCAGTTAAACTGTAAATGTTTCAGTTGAACTTTTCATTAAAACAAGTGCTAACACAAAAGAACGACACAAACTCGAACGGTTTACGCCACAATATTTATTCAACAATATACAGATTAATCTCTCTACATCTCAGACTTATCTTTATATTTATCTTGCTTTTAACTTTATACATTTTCTTATTTACAAAATGAAAAATAAGTCTTTTTCTCCATTTATACATCATTAGTAGTGTTATCACGCTCAGACTCATCGTTGCTAATCTTTTATTTTTATACACCAGCCGAGCCACAGAGCAGGACAGGAGGGCTCAACGTGCACCGAAACCTCGCATGGCAACGAAACGGTCCTCATACTTGTACCCCTTCAGACAGGCTCGTTGCTCTGTAGCTGTGTATAAACAAAACCATCGAAACTAACAAAAAATCAGCTTAAATCTCTGTCCCCCATCCCATCTAATGAGCAAAGCCCCAAAACAAAAGAACAGAAATAAAAAAAAATACAATGGGGAAAAACAAGTTGCATAGAATTGATTCGAAACATAAAATTTGGTGCTGCTATTTAAATTGTGGCTTTTTTTTTTGAGGAACTCCTGAGACCTTCCAGAACCCATGACTTTTTTTTTTTTTTTTTTTGTCTTTTTTTGGTTTTGAAACAAAAAATAAAAATAGCTGTACCCTCAGACTTTTAACAAAAATAGCCTTGTGTTGGATGTGACATCCCCATAGAACTACTCAAGAGACTAAAACCCTGCACTGAGTGAATACACGTTTCCACATCTATACATGTCGTTTCAATAACTATCTCAAGAGCTGGATGGATTAAAGTGCATTAAACAGAGCCCACGGTAACCACATGCAGGATGGAAAATGAACTTTCTCCGGCAGCCGTGGCGACTGATCTAACACCGACACGTGAAGTCGTTTTCACAACAAAAAGGAAGTTTTACAGCTGTGGTCAGAAGTTTACATCCACACATCTTGGGCATGACAGTCAATTTTAGGGCTTTTAATGAGTTACTTAAACCATTACAGCTTTAAAGATTATACGACATGCTTTGGATGGCTCTCTGCTTCAACACCGAATCCAAGTAAGTTAACGATGAAGTTTTCTGCAGAGCTTGAGGACTTAATGACGAGGTCATTCAAACATTGAACGAGGTGTTTTGGAGCAAGAGATCATTTAAAACATGCACGATGGTGAGCCCTTGAAGACCAGTAGAAGGTCTTCACAAGTTCAAGGCTCATTAGCATCTTGCAGCTGGTAGCTTGTCTTTGTCAGCATAAAAAAAAGGACTTGGTGGTGGTTTCTCAGATGAAAGGATACTGGTGTTAATGTTGCTCCATCACAACCCAAGAACCACCAGGACTCAAGTCTGCCAGCTGAGTCCACAAGCAAGTTTAGATCGTCGTGAGCCGAGAGGGGGCAGAACCCCGCTTCCAAGAGAAACACCTTGATTGTACTTTGGATCTGTCCACATGTGGACACAACAAGAAGTAAAAAACAAAGCTACCAGCTGTCAAGCACGGCGGTGGCTGCGTCATGCTGTGGTATCAAGTGTATGGAATGATAAAGGGCTGCCTCCAAATTCTTCAACGTCACCTCAAACCAACAGCCGAAACCTGGACACAGCTTGGTGCTCCAACAGAACATCGACCTAGAACACACATCAGAACCGGTTTCTGATAGCAGGTTAACGTTAAGCTTCTGGAATTATCTTAACAAAAGCCACGGACTTAACTAAAAATGAGTGCACTTTGATTAAAAACCAGTTTGCACAAAAAATAAATCAATTAGTTTAATGGAACGAAGCTTGTTGATAGCTACAAATGGTGTGTGGAAGAAAATGCAACTTGATATGAGACATTTAGCCAAATATTAAAGGGGTTGTTTGTATTTATTTCAGCCTGTGTGCATACATTTTAATTCTGTTTATTTGAGAGAAAACCCACTGTAAAAAACCTGTTCAACCATTTTTTTTAAATGACAAGTTGCATTATTCTTGGGAAAAAATGAATATGGCCGCCACACCCATGATGAGTGTATGTAAACTTCTGACTGCAGCTGTAGTCGTTCTCACAACAAAAAGGTTTAATCTGAATCTCAGGCAGACTCGTTGAAGCTTATTCAGTCGACGTGTGGTTGACTGCAGTCAAACCCCAGGCTGGCGTTCATTTCCCACCCCGATCACATGCAAATGACACCACACTGAGGGATATTTGTTACTCAAAGTCAACATACAGTACCAACACGACTGCTGGTAACCTCGGCACTCACGGCCGACGCAGCGAACACACCACCAGCTTATAAAAACGGCAAGAAACGGTGCCACTGGACTCACAGCAAAAAAATACAGCAAGACGGAAACGTGGCTCGCTGAGAGTCACACAGCACAGGGATGACAGCTTATTCCAGAAAGCACAAACTACCGTAGAGTTGCACTCGTTTTTCAAAATCCAGCTAGGTAGGAGGCCAAACGGCTGAAAACCCAGGCCTGAAATGGTGACGGATAAAACACAGACGCACAGAAATCACGCTAGGACAAGCAGCTGAGAGGGCTTCAAGCACACCAGGAGCATAAATGAGTGATTTTCACCAAACTCAACCCTTTATATACATTAAATCACTCATCCTCGTCCAGGAGAGCATCACAACAACCCACATCTACAGTGCACAGATGAATAATAACATTTTTACACGTGAACAGTGAAAATAAGTAACGACTGTGACAATACAGTGTCCCACACTCCTAAAAACTCGTTAAACAAGAAAAGGTGAAGATGCATTTAAGGGCACGCTGAACCAGGTGTCTAAACATCCCACTATTTTGACCCCCAATTTCAAATTAAGACTAATACAGAAAAAAAAAAGGCATTTTAAATAAGACACTCGGGCAAAAACTTGAAACTATTAAAACTAAAAGAAAGTCCTCAAAGAGAGGATGCGTGTTGGCACATCTGGCTAAGACGAGGACATGACTCAGGTTTGGCTCTGGCTGTGCTCGGCAGGGCACTAAACACGCATTAGAGCACGGCATGTTTAAAATAAAAGAAATAAAATAAATTTCAGCCTGAGGACGAAGCACTACAAGAGGCTAGAGAGCAATGTGCGCAGATGCAGGTATTTTACAGCAGAAGAAAAACGTCTACGTACACAAGGATTTAAAACAAATTGCACTTAAAAGCCCATAACCTTAAAAAAATTAAAGAAATAAAAAAATATTCAGATTAATCCCCCAGGAAAAATAAATAAATTGAGACTGTATTTAGCTAGATTTAACTTAACCGTAGGGACAAAGTACTCAAAGTTGTACAGAAAAACACAAAATTGAACATTAATCCAGCTGAGGTGGGAACCGATTTAGGTCAGATTAACAATCTGGTTTCAAAGACAAAAACAGGAGTAAATCAGCTTGTTTGGTTGTATCTGAACGGCAGGTGAACACACAATGAGGTAGAACAAAATGCTTTATGATGGTCCAATCAGAACAAGAACAAGATCACTGTGGAGACCAAGGAGGTGCAGTGACACCGTCAGGCCACCAGGGGGCAGCACATAACCAGCTTTGACTTGACACTAGGCACAGCTTTTACAAACACCAAGTGCTTTCAGAAGGAAGGATCCATGGAACCGTTTGAAACTAAAGATACAGTCACCGCCTTTACAGTCGCATCGACTTTAACTTTTAAAACCACTAAACAGAAGTCTTTACATGTGTAGCTGCACAGGAATGATTTTCATTTGTTAGACTTGTCCAGTCCAAAAGCTCCAGGCCAGACAAACGCTCACGTTCCAGTTTGGTTCAGGAACGATCCTAAAAAGTTACACGTTTACCAATCAAACATGAAAGTTGTTTTTCCCTGTAAAATAAAATGTAGGTAGTGACCTGGAGTTAAAGAATCATGGGGATTTGTATTTGAGAACTAAAAAAATAAATAAAAATACCTTCTTTGGGTTGTGATTTCAAACATTTAAAGATGTTTTTAACCATGTATGACTGGTTTTAATTAACAATAAACATAAAAGGATATCAGAACGATTGCACGTGAGCCCGGGAATGAAAGGGAAGAACCAGGAAAGTAATCCCCCTCTTATCTCCACATGAGCAACGACTTATTGCCGATTCATTTCGACTGATTCAGTCAGGAGCTAAAAAGAAAACTGGAACATCAAGACACTTGCATCTAAGTTTGAGACTCCTAGACTTTCACTTGAGGAGCGTTTGTGTGGAATGCTCAGTTTGGTCGGAGATACAGCGACTATCAGAACTTTTTAGCATCTGAACGTCACCAGTAACAGCTGCTAGATGTCAACGAAGATCTGAAGATCTGTTCCTACTCTCACACAAATATATGAACTGAGATGATCACTGTGGTGCTGCTGGGGGGAGCTGGGAATGTATGTGGGTGTTCTGAACAGCTATGTGTGTGCGTGTCTTCTGCTGGGCTGGACATTAGACCTGTGATATGATCTGCATGTTGAAGCTCGGGGAGCGGGACTGCTTGGTCAGAGGAGCCCCAGGGTTCAGGAGGGCCTGGGCCTCCTCGGGCCTGTTCAGGTGCTCCTCCTGCAGGCTCGTGGTGGAGAGGCGGTGCGAGCTCCCGGCTAGAAGCCCTACCCTTTCAGAGCCTCCTGCCGCCTCCTCTTGCTCGTCCTCGCCTCCATTCAAGTTGAAGTTCATGCAGTCAAAGGACTTGCTGGATGAGGCGCTGCCAGTCCGCACCCGTGGGGGCCCTGCAGGGAAGCTCAGGTGCTTCTTTATGGGACTGAGGTGGATGGCGTCCAATTTGATGCTGTCTGGGGGCGACTGCTGCCTCTGGTGGTGTTTTGTTCCGGCAGCCTGCTGATCCACAGACATTTCTGTCTGTTTTTCTGCCTCCCTCTCTCGCTCCCTTTCCTTCTCCTTCTCCTTGTCCCGAGACAGGCGGGCCGCAATGGCTTTCTTAATACTGCTACTGCTGCTGTTCAGGCTGCCGCCCCTCGGCCCCACGCCGCCACCACACTTAGTGCCGCTGGGCTGGCTGCTGTTGGACGCCCCTGAGGAGAAGCCTTCGTCTGGGTCGTTGATGTTGAAGGAATCCTCCCCTCCGCTCATCCCATCAGCGTCTGAACATGGAGAGTCAGAGAAAAACAGACAGCATGATAGACAAACAGAAAAATGAGATAAACCAGTTGAACGGATGGTTACAAAGTGTGGTTAAAATGTTTAAGTGCACTTTCAGAAACTCTGTGTAGCATTCATAAAAAATAAATAAATAAATGTCTTTTATACAAAAAAAGTTCTGTGTAAAACATAAAACTAAATGCTAGAAGTTGCAAATCTTATAAACTCATATTTTCACTATGGAACGTGATAAACAAGAAATGTTCAAACAAAAAAATGATACTTTAAAAAAAAAAAAAGATACGAGTTTTAAGGCAGCAATACACCTAAAAATACAAATAAAAACTGGAACAGGGCAATGTTTACCACTAACTAAAATCTGTAGACGTCTAGGAACAGAGGAGAAGAGTTGCTGGAGTGTTTTGGGGGAAAGTCGTCTCATTATTATTTGATGTAGGATTCCAGCTGTTCAACAGTTCTGGGTCTTTATTGTATTTTGTTTTTATTTACTGGATTTTATTTTTTTATTTTTTGCTGGATGTGAGCACATCTTTTCTAAAACCTGCATATACTTTTCTGCCTCAATGGTGCCTTTCCAGATGTGTAACCTGTCCCTGCATAGGCACTAATGCATCCCCATACCATTAGAGAGGCAAATTTTTGAGTGTGCTGATGCGGAGACAGGCTGCATGGTTTCCTTCCACTCTGTAAAAAGAATGTGGCGTTTGTGGTTTTCAAAAAGAATTTCCAATTTTGATTCTACTGACCAGTTTCCCACTTTAAAAACCAGTTTTGGACCAGAGGACAGCAGAAGTTTTTGAATGTTGCTTTGCTCCTCTAGATGTTTTTATTTATACTGTTTACATTTACAGACTTTTGTTACACTTGTTCAAAACGTTTTGAGATGTGGTGCTGCCTTAAAATTCTAAATTTTACAAAAACTAAACGGTACAATTATTATTAATATTATTATTTTTACATTTCATGTGTTTATTATGTTCTATTGTAAATAAAATGGTTTTTTTTATATATAAATTCTACTCATTACACTCCATTTTATTTACATTTTACACAATCTCTCAAATTTTTCAAAATTGGGGTTGTACAAAAAGATGAATGTAACAGCTGTTAATAACTAAACTTGGACATAATATCAAATGTAAATAACAGAACTGAAAAAATTGGAGCCAGCAACGCACAGCTGACAGATTCTGCTGCTTGAATATCTTAACATTAAACTTAGCCAATGTTTAAAATATGACAGTATGGCTAAAAACTCGAACCTGCAGTTTCTGTCTTCAACAATGTGAGAACAGTTTGTAAAAGTCTAAAAAGGCACAGCACTGACACAAGTACATTTAATAAATAAAACAGTAATATTTTTATGTCCTCATAGAAAGCTGAAAGAGAAAATAATGATAAACTATGTTAGGAAAAAAGTCATATTAGTAATAAACAGGATGCGGGGTAAAGCCTGTCAAAAGAAGAGACAGATAATCAGCTGTCTCTCTCTCCGTCATGCATCGTTGGGACAAGCAGAACAGGGAACCACAGACAGAACCAGCAAAGAAATGAAGGAACTGATAAGAAAAGGGCTGAATCGACATGCACATAACATGAGAAGGACACATGCTCTCCTGCCCCACCCCTCGTTTCTTCCACAGCGCCTCATCAACAGGGTTGGTCAGCCGAGACGAGCCCAGGCACCTCATTAGATCGATAGTCTTCCAGGTACAGCGGACAGCCCACAGAACTGAAGGGGACACGGTCACGGGCTGACCCAAGGCCCAAATGAAGAGATATGGACTCAGAGTTCCAGGTTACACAATCATACCCCATCACTGTCTCTTAGCCTGCTACATTACTGCGTGCTGATGCAGCCGCTTAAAACTGTTTCTTGATGGTGCGTTCAAGGGGCATCTGTAGTAAAGTAAACTTTTAGAGCTTTTAACTTGCATGAGGTATATTAATAAAATCCAAAATCCTGAATACTTACACAATGTTCATCGTGCTAGTTCTATAATAAAACTGATCCGAATCGTCACTGTGGAAAAGGGGCTTTGGCTTATCTCTTATGCCCCTTTCCATTAGTACCTTTAGTACTGGTACAGCACGGTTCTACTCGGCTCAGGACAGTACAAAAAATAGTTATGTAACAAAAGTAATTGAAAAGTTCACTTATTAGTTATTAATCCAGCTCAGTCAGGTCATCTGGACAGTTTCTTTTTTTGTGACGAGATGTTTCGCCCTCCATCCAGAAGGCTTCAGTCAGAGGAACCATCAAACAAAACGATTCTCCAACCACAACAGCTTACTCTAAAGTGGAAGAAAAACAGTTATGCTGGTGCTAAGATGGCCTCTGGGGCACGCCCTCTCCTATGGTGCCCGCCCTCTCCCTCGTTGACAGTCACATCAAGCTGGTTCAAAACACCAAAGTCCAAGCTCAATAATCCAGGTATAAAAGCCAACAATGTTCAGTCTGGCTATCTGGACGTTTTTTTTTATTTTTTATATAATTTTTTTTATGCTGAGACGTTTCGCCCTCCATCCAGAAGGCATCACCAGTGTTAACACCAACATATGGTAACTGGAGTTTCCCATTTTGGAGTACGCTTTTGGGGGAGAATCAGTTTTATTTGGTGTTTCCTCAGACTGATGAAGCCTTTTGGATGGAGGATGAAACATCTCAGCACAAAAAAGAAACCATCCAGATGACCTGACTGAACATAGTTGGATTTTATACCTGGATTATTGAACATGGACTTTGGTGTTAGTTATTAAGTTCCTATTATTGGTCAATGGTATGTTCCAGTTTTTAGTATTTTACATCGCTTTATAATGTAGCTGCTTTTGTTTCGTTTTCTTAAATATAATTTATTCTATTTACTTTTCATTTGATATACTTTTTATAGGATTGTCTATTGTTGTCTGTACCTCATCTGTTCTTTGTTAAAAACAGGTCTCTCTTGTAAATGAGTCCTCGAGGCTCAATGAGACTAACCTGTAGAAATAAAAGGTTGAAAGAATGAAAAAACAGGAAGACAAATGTTTATAACTACAAAACTAAAACTTGACTAGTACATCGAAAACAGTTTAACAAATTACACAAAATAAACTGAAAATAGGTGCTGGGCTGACTCAAAAGACCAATCAATACTGTGGCTCTACTCTTTTTAATATAAGCGCATGGTTTACAGGTAACTGAAATGGTTAAGCATAAACAAAAGAGCTTAAACTACAAAACAGATAAAACTTTTTTTTAATAGTTTGACTAAAGTTGAGTTTTGTCAAGTCTCATTTTTTTTTTCAGCAATTACTGTGGTTATTAAATGTCAAAACTGTGAGCCCACCCAGTTAGACATTATATATTTGGACAATATCTCAACTTGTTTTTTTTACACCATAAAGTTTCCAATAACTATTTTAAAGACACAAGCAGCCTCGAGGCCCACCATCAATCCAGAGTTTTAAAGGTGCACCTGTTCAACAGCAGAACAAATAACCACTACATGAAATATTTAACCCAAATAAACTTAAAATGAACTTAATTACACTTCAGAAATTAAGCTAAATTAATTTCTGTCAATTAAGAGGGCAAATAATGAAAATATTGATATATGGGAGGATAATGCAAACAGAAGACAAAATAAAATCCATGAGAAAGTAACGCCACTCTAAATTAAAGAACACAATAAGTCCAGTACACAAACACAGTTTGCTTCTGAAATCATCACATGTATGTTTACTGGGTGGAGGGACTCAATGCAGTGAAACTAATTATCTTCGTTCCCCTCTCATGTCTGCACCGACTTCAACAATAAATAAACAAACAAAAAAAAAATGGTGGAAAATACCAGATGGGACTCAAACAAACACTGAACTTAACCGAGACAACAAGCTGATCTTCAGTTTTGGGATTTTAAAACAAAAACAAGGGAAAATGCACAAGTTTCACCACGAGACAAAATGGGCCTCAGAGTCCTGGCGGAGGAAAACCCTTTGCTTCCAATCAGATAATGATCAACTGACCTCGTCGTTGGAGATGCTAAGGTTTCAGCGTTGATGTACTTTTTTTTTCTAAAACCGCTGAAGCTTGCTGAGTCACGTGCATGCAGGGCTCATTCCCACTCACTGAGATGAGGAAAATATTTGGATACAGTAAAGCTGTTAAACTAAAAAAAAAAAAACAGTTTTCTGTGGATTGGCTGCAGCGGAAGGGTGCTGCCCAAACAGGCAGGGGCTGTACAGACAAGAGTCAAGATCTCTAAGCCAAATTGTGTACATCCCCTAATAATGATAACTAATGATGCCATTTATCAAACATGGAGAGTTGAGTAAGCCCACAGGTGGCTTGTTGGTAAACATGCTCAGTGAGTGACAAGGACAGTGTTCTGAAGTTGAAGGACTGATGAGGAAGAAGACAGAAAGCCTTGTGACGACCGGTTCATGCAAAACAGACTCTAGTGACACTTCCTTCAACCCCAGAATAGGCAACTCTTCCACATAAAACACAGGAGAAAGTAGCAATGATCTGTGGTGGGCAGGTTGTTGGCTGAAGGTCTTATTGACTGGATGAGTTAGTATACTCTGGGGAAGTCAGGAGGTAGAAACAACGGGAACGGCAGAGTTAAAACGCCTCAAGCTAAGGAGGGGGTAGTAGGAGGAAGATCGCAGGGTCACCTCTTCCTAGAGACCCTCGTTCCCATGAGTGGCTACCCCTGTCCCCTACCCTCAAGCGTGATGGGGGGAATGATGCTGCTGCTGGTGCTGTGGTGGCTGTGATGCCGCCTTCCTCTATCCTCTTTAGCTGCGGGGTCCCAGGGAGGGTTGTGGAGGTGGTCGTAGCTAGGCGGACTGACGGTGAAGCTCAACTCTGCACCGGTTGAGTAGTCAAAACAATCTGGGAGTCAACAACACAGATGAGGAAATGCGTTTCTTTAGTAGCAGCAAGCTTCACTCAGCGCAGGCTCCTGGGGACAGCTGCCCTCAAAGCTACCTCAATTCTTTCATGAGCTATAAAATGTAAAAAATAGAAACTCTACGGTATCGATCGCCCATTTACGGGATCAATTAATACCATTTTGTTGCTTCATTATCCAAAACTGATTAACATTTACAATTTACTGGTGACATAAAGCACACGATAGACACAAAAAAGCAACAAAAACAACAAGGAGCAGTGAGTGGAAGCACTTCAACACAGCGGCTTATAGGACCACATGTACAAACAGGAAGTGACATGTAACACCATTTAGACGATGCTAATGGTGTGATCAGTTTATAACAAAAACAGGTTTCCTTCTCACTGCTAGAGACAAGCACCACAGAGGTCATTTTCTCACCAAATAAGTCCATCTTGCGGCCTTTCGTAAATCAGAAAAAAGCAACAAACTGTAAGCTGAATCGTGCCCGAGGGAACTTGTTTCACCACCTTCTCCACAAACCTAACCTACGACTCTAAACTGACAGTTTTAACTTTTTGAACAATTGTGTAATCCTTGATTAAATTTGATAAGCCTGGTTTACTTCACAGTGTGAAAGGCAAAGTTTTCTGCCGCTCTCAGGGCTTTCTAGTCTTACCCTCTCTCTTCCAGCGGTGGCGCCGTATGGAGGCAGTGGTGATTGCCGAGATGGATATACGGCTGATGGTGGGCGTCACCTCCACCTGAAGCACCTTGCGTCCACGCGGCTCGTCGGGAGCGCTTTCCGGCAGAGAGTTTTTCATGGCGTTCCCCAGCTGATGTAAATACACAGAGAGAACATCTAGATCAGGGATTTTCAACTAAATTGCTCAGGGGGCCACAGTTACTGACAGCCAAGAGCTCAGGGGCCGAACATCCAGCAGTTATTGTCATTAAGTTTGTTTTATGGTTTAAAATCTAGTTTTATTTTAAAAAGAACCCATTGTGTGGCCGAACTGAGCTCACCTGTGGGCCTGATTTGGCCCCCGGGCCGTCAGTTGAATAGCCCTGATCTAAAACCTTATTGTTTTCCTTTCTATATTTTTATTTTCCCATAGGCTACAGTTTTTTTTTTTGCAAACTCATTACACATATTTTTTGCAATTTTAACCATTAATGTACCAAAAACATTCAGCTCAATCAAGAATGGTGCGTTACGACCTTTATGGTTAAGTAACTTCTACAATTTTTTTCAAAATATTTAGTTATATATATATTTTATCTTTATTGAAACACATTAAGATTGTTTCAAATCCTTAAAAAATGTTTTTCTTTAATGCTATATTTAGTTTTTAACTATGGATTTGCTAATTTTAGCTTAAATCGACTGTTTCGCTAATTTTGGTTTGTAGCTACAGTTTTTACTATTTTTATCGTTCAGCTAAAGTTTTGCTAATTGGAACTTTTAGGTATGATTTTGCATATTTTATCTTTCAGCTCTTTTTTTCCTCATTTAGCCTCTTTTCAGTTTGTTTTAACTTTTACAATTCAGTTTTACTCCAACAAATTTCACACGGTATTTTGGCAAAAATATTCAAATTTTTTAGTTATTTAAATCTGGAGTTTACTAGTACCAATTTGTAGGAAAATCTTTATTAATACATATTTACTTTGTTGGCTTTTCAAACTATACGGTGGCTATACTGATGCAGACTGCAACAAGCTGCTGGTCTTACCAGGAGGGGCTGGGAGAAGAGCTCCAGCTGGGCTCTGTACACAATGTCCTCCAGAGCTTCATGCCCCATCTCCCACTCTCCATTGTAACTACAGTTGAAAACACAAACAAACCAACATTAAACATCACGCTGCAAGCTTATTTGAGTAAAGTGCAGACTCTCACAAGCTCCTTTTGATGTCTGACTCACATCCCAGAATCTATTTTTAGCTGCTTAAAGAAGCCTGTGGCTGCACAAAGTAAGGGGTGATGGTGCTGAGGTTACACACTCATGGGGTAATAATACTGTGACACTACTGCGTTACTAGAAAACAGTGCAGTGTCTTCTAGAAGGGAAAGATATCTTCAATGAAAAATCCATTAGACAAAACCATGAACTACTTTAAGAAGCTTTTTCATGTTGCCTTTTTGACCTTATGAGTAAAGTAAATGTAAGAATGTGAGAAACAAAAGCAAATTTTAAAACCAGCCTGATTCTAATTTGTTCTGCAGCTAGGTGGAACCAAAGTAAGCCAGTAGAAAAGAGGACATTATTAGTATAATAAACTAGTATTTGTAAAATAAATTAATTAATAAATTAAAAAAACATTCAGACTCTGATAAAATGCACAAACTTGTCTGCATAAACCACTGGAGTTTATATTTAGATTTGTAGTAAAATGATGACTGCCAAATCTCAAGAAATGAGAGACAAATCCACAACAAATTGAAATTAAAGAGTATCTAGTACAAAGTACATACAATACAAAATTAACGCATAGGGAAAAAGGACAAATACAAAACAGTCAAACTGAACTGTTTGATCCAGTTCTTAATCTAACAATTAAGCTCTTTTTAGACTAAAGATTAAACAAACGGCATGAATTCGCAGGTGGAAACACTCAAATGATGCCAGGACTGAAAAGACAGAACAAACATAAAAGGACAGTGATGGTTTAAGTTGCGTTTCTGCACAAATATGTTGATTTAGTTTTTTTTTTCAATTTGGCCAAAATCCAATTGCATCTCAAAGTGGAAAAATACACCACCTACCACCTACCCCATTGCATAATCTCTTAACAGCAAAGTTAAGGGACGAAAACAGAAATAAGTTGGATTCAATTTAGCAAATTCTCTGAAAATTTGGTTAAAATTTGTTGTAAACGTAACAAAACTTTCACTGTTCGAAGTTTTCTAGGGGTTATCATTAACATAAATGCAAACCTCAAATTATATGAAAATAAAAGTACGTAAAAGTATTGCAGCTTTAAACAAAACTTAAGTGTTTTAGCGTCATCAACAATTAGCTTTATAATAATCACCTATAGGTCCATGTCTGAGTTAATGTACAGATGTTTGAGACAACACATGCAACTAATTCAGACCTTTGTGTTAACAAAAGCCTACAAAAATGTTATATACAGTAAGAAAAGGGACCAGTTATATGACTTTTCTTCTCCTTGTTCCCTTTCCACTCACAAATTGAACTAAACTTTGCTGGAACTTTGCTACATTTTTTGTGTCTGTCAAAGGTCATTTGTAAAACTGGATGAGGGAAATTAGTGAATAAAATAATTGCAGCAAGTAGATAAATTCTACACTAATTTATGTAAAAATGGGCAACTATTTGTTGTGACAGAAGAACAAAAATCAAGATGTTCACAACTAATGGAGCTATGTTAAAAATATAATCAAAAAGGGTGTTTGGTTCAGGTTAAACGTACATAGCGTGATAAACAGCACTCAGCATCTGCACCATGAACTCAGGATCCAGCAGCACGCGGTTGCACGGTTCCCTCCAAAGCTTCTGCTGTTGTCGAGGGAAGCCACAAACGCACACTCTGAGAAGGGAAGTGGTGTAAGAAAGAAAACGTCAGAGATCTCCTCAAACTGCAAAATGAAGCTCAAAGATCTGATGACCTGCATCAGAAACGAACAGACTGTAGAGAGAAGAAGAAAAACGGAGTCAAAAAGTACTGAAATAAATATAAAATCTTTTTTTTTCTGTTTAAAGAATGCTTCACGGACTCGAAGAGACTTTTGTTCCGACTCGTGGCGTGTGTTATCAACACACATATTAATTAAACAAGAGCAAAGATTGTCCTGGAACAAAAATGATCAGTGACTCAGTTTTAAAAAAACATTGTGACAAACCTCAGGAGATAAAAACAACGGACCTTAAATGTAAATCACCTCTGCCTCGAGACCGTTTAAATATCTACTGGTTTTACTTTAGATGCATATAGTTTGTTTTGTGAATTCTGATTAAATGTCTTAAAATGTATGTAAATGTGTCAGATTGTCAAATTCAGTTTATTATATAAAAAAGAAATTACTACAAGGAGCTTATACACACAAAAAACAAACAATTTAAAGTAAGTCTTTTTATTTGCAGGGGTTGATGGTTCGACCACAAACTGCCCGCTGTGAGGACAAAGAGAGGCTGTACTGTGCAATGAAATCTTCAGTCACAGCGTGCCATCTGTCTAGACTGAGCTAGCTTCAGGCGCTGTCTGTTCGCTCACAGTAGGCAGGATTCATATCCTGAATGGTGTGCACGCTGCGGTGGAACAACGCTCCACTGCAGATCCTCGTTCAGTGAATCACTCATCGATCCTTCAGGGCGTCTCGGTGTTTCAAAGATTCACACTCGGATAGCTACACAGTAGTTTTGGTTTGAATTTAGCCAGCTGCATGAGCTGTTTAACTGAGCTCAAATGAAATTGTACAACTCAAACCCTCCTGCCACTAGGACTGTTGAGTACTCAGGGAAGTGTTAAGCTACAACGGGGAGGAGGTGATTAGATCCCAACTTGAAGCAAACAGGCAATTTTAAAACAGAAAAAAAAATGGCTGCTAATTGGGTGCAGAAGTAACAAAAAGACATGTTCTCACCGTGAGCTCATCCTGCAGACGGACTGATAGGAAGAGAGGGGCATGTAGACCACGGCGGAGTTGTAGCAGAGCATGAGGAAACACAACACCTCAAACCTGCAACAACAAAAGACACAGTTACAAACACAAAAATACAGATTAATCAGAATCTAATAACTTGAGTCAAGGAACAGTGCTTAGTAGCTTGAGCAATCCTTCAAACCTGCAAGCTGTTAAATAGCACGCTAAGCAAATAGCTTTATTACTGGTAAGTAGATTTGCTCATCGTCAGCTGGTGTACATGATGCATGACTTAATAAAACAAAATACTCCTTTAAGCTCTGGGGACACACCATCCAAGAGGTGCAGAAACAGGAGAACAGCAGAATGTGTAAAACTGAAGTTCAATGTCTCTGTTTATTTATTGGGACGATATTTTACCACTCATAAAAGATTGAAAGAGCAGAGCGTTGTCTGACAGAGTGCACGTTGCCTGCTGCCTCTCACAACCGAGTGTTAAACGAAGATCATCTTATGACGAGAAGGGATGGAGCTACAGCTGTTCGGATCAAAACTTGCACATGACATTATCTGCAATCTCAAGCAAGATCTTGTAAGATTTGTTGCAACTCCCAGCTACTACCACTTTCAATTTAAGCGCCATATCTGTAAAATTGGCTAAGTTATAGCTTTGATGTGGCTGCAACCTTGAAATTCCATAAAATACTTATATGTATTTGTAGATGTATATCCAAAGATTACTTTCTAAAAGTTTCATTAAAATTCATTAAGTGGTTCATTTCACTAACAGACGTTTACTTCAACAGTGAATGGCAAAGCTTTAAAAACAGATATTGTGCTAATGCTAGCTATCAGCTAACACTTGGAGTATAAGTTGGGGATGATCCCCAGTTACTAACACACCAAATTTTAGCTGAATATTTGTAAAATTATCTGAGTTATAGTAATTTGTACGTGTTTTTTAAGCTCATTTAGCTACGGCGGCTACCTTGAATGGGGTTGAATCTAAAGGTTAATCAGTTGTGGATGTAGATCAACTGACTAGTTTTAGTTGAAGTGAAAATATAGAAATGTAACTGGAGTTCTCAGACATTGCGACTAAAGAAGATGCCTAATAAAGCAGCTACATGTCGGCTTCTCTGCTGCAGACTTTGTCATGTCTTTCTTGTCGCTCTAATCTCTGCAGCCACAGAGAGTTTTTGAGAGTGGATGAAATTGAATCAAAGCAATCAACTTTTTAATAGTTGGATTATATTGTTTGGAAATACTGTGCATATTTTATTTCTTCACATGCATTATGAAGAGCCTGTGGATGCATTTTGATGAAAGCAAATTGAAACGGACCTGCTGTGTGAGGCCATAAACGATGCGCTGCGTTCTCATTCGAACCATTTACCTCCTCTCTCAGGAGCTTTGGATCCTCTTCTCATAAGAACCACTCACATCAAATAAGCTTTGATGTCGAGCGATGCTGAGATATTGCCAATATATTTATCAAGTTTGTTGTGAATTGGCGCCACACTGCTTTGGATATCCACAGTATTATTTGTGATCTCACATGATCAGGTCAGATAACCCAGATTTTTGTTTTTGCTGCGTATATGTCACTGCAAACAAGCACACATGCATCTTTGTTCATTTGAGTCCAACAGAAACCCTATTTTGGGCAGGATTACTGGCACGCTTTATTACTAGGGCTGAGATTATTATTCACCCACAGCAGCAGTGTGAATGGAAGAGCCAAAAAAGCTCTCAGACTGACCGAGTCCTCGCCACAGGAGGCTGATTAAGCACAGAGGGTTACAATCTGATCATCTTAAAAAGGGCTTTTTTATTAAAAACATATTTGATGAAGGATGAAACAAAGCATACATATCAATGAGAATAATGATTCCCATGTCCAAAGTTGGGATCAATTTTGATGCCAAGTAAATTTGGAAAGCAAAAAATAGTCCAGCAGAACTCAAATAATTTAAAAAAAGACCATGAAGTGTGGATATGGGTGCGGTATGGATTCATTTTTGATACTAAAATATCAAGATAAAACTGTAGAATAACAACTTTTACGGATGTTTAAAAAGATGTTTTATTTTGTAAAAAATAAAATCAAAGAAGCAATAATCCAAATTGAACAACAAAACGTTCTGACTGAGCCCATTAAACTAAAGATTCATAAAATGGTTTGAATTAATAACATTTCTCCAAAGTAAAAAAAAAAAAAAATCAATGTGTTTGAATTTCTTAAAATATAGGGTTTAAATATAATATTTATTGTAATATATAATCCTGTCCAAGTTTAGACACAGTCTATTTTTATACTTTAACCTCCTAAGACCTGAACTCTTGCATATGTGGATGCCAGGTCCTAGGAGGTTAAAGAGCTGATTGACTGGAAATAGGAAATACATTAATAAAATAAAATAAATAAAATTAAAATAAAAAAACTCCTGAGAAGATCAAGAAGAAACCATTGGTTGGTCCTAGTTAGATGGGTGTTCAAAGAAAATGGGAAAGTAAAAAAAAAGAGATTTTCCAACATTTTGGATCATTTTTCTCATTCTATTGATCAAAAATATGTTTGGTAAAAATTGGGTTATTTATTTCTCAGAGTGAGAAGGAATTTTAGCATATAAGAGGAAAGCTATAAATAAATAACATGACAAGATGCATCTAAAACAAACTACAAATGTATAAAATAATATTAAAGACAAAATCAGTCCAAGACATGGCTGGAATTCATTCTGCAAAACTTATTAATCAACTAGAATATGAGAAATATGGAACCTCACTGAAAATAACTGAAATAATTATGCAGTCCAGTCCAAACAATCTAATCTGTTATAAAAGGTAAGATGTGGATCAACAAAATACTAATTGAGAAGTATTATTACACTATTTAACCAACTTTGAGCTACGAAGTGCCTAAAAAACATTTATGATATGGAAAAATATAGCAAAAAATAATTATCCACGTGTAATGACTGTTTTTTTTTTTAAGAGGTCAGAGTTCTGAAATGAATCTCGGTTAAAAAAAACTGTTTTACTGGTAGTGGTACCTGTTCTGTGCTGTGAAGGTTTCTCTCTGAGGGTGGAGGCCGCTGTAAACCACTCGGATCAGGTCATGTTGGCAGAGAGCTCCTTCTGTCAGAGCCATGGAGCCCAGGCTAGAAGGCTACACACACACACACACACACAAACTTTAATACAGGTAAATGTTTTATCAAATTAAATATTCACATCAAAATTCTTACAAACAACCTAACAAAGTTAAGTCAGGTCCTCTGGACAGATAAAAAAAACAAAACGGTTGAAATGTTTCATCTTTTATCCAGAAGACTTTGTTAGTCTGAGGAGCTGCACTAAACTCGGTCTTATAAATAGCACCTAGCCTAGTGGATCAACCAGACGGTCGCTCTTACCCTCTCTCCCTCCTGCTTTTTTGCTCTCTTGTCCTGCCAACCTCAGAGCCTCTCTTTACACGTCTTCTGAATCGAAAAATATTATGGATTTGGGCAGCTGGTCCTTCAACGCAATTGATATTTTTTTCCCCCACCAGACAACAGAGTGCTGGAGAGCCCTCATGCCCTGAATGGACCCATGCAGCTGGGTATGTCATGGATTCCTGGGGGGAATGGAAGATGATGTGCCTATCTGTGCTGTCCGTGGAGAACGTAGAAGATGTGTACATTATTGGATTTATGATAACAGGGTTTCTGCTTTTTGGAATCAGTGGATATCTAGGATATCGACAAATTAGGAAGACGTCAGCAGCAGTTACGGCCACGGTAAAGCTGCCAGCCTTACGTGAAGGATTAATTTGTGCCTCGAGCTCTTAAACTCATATGCTCAACTGCAAGCTGGATGCGATTTCTGAGAATCGTAGGTCATTTGCGGCTCATGGAACTCGCCAACATGAAGGTTTTAATCTTGGAGAATGTTAATGGAGCATGGACCGGGCGTAATGTCCACAAATCTGGCTGTTTGGATTCGCCATTGAGTGTACCAGCAGAACTTGAAGGCAGACAGAAAACAGAGTCAGGCAGCCCAAGCAATTGTTGTTTATCTGGATTTGGCCTCCCTGCTGGCGTTGAACAGGCCAACTTATCTCAAATTGCTCCTGTAGGATACGTAAACTAGAAGCTTCTGCCTACCTCCCCCCTCCCGAGGACATCTGTGGCCTTACCAGAACCATGATGCAGATAGACAATGTACCATCTTATCAGAACTTTGGGACTTTCTGGACTGTCTATGGATAACTCACCGCTTTTGTTGACCTCTATGCATAAATGTATTATGCTGTCATCGTATGTTGAAGCTTTATGTTGCGAGGTCTTTTTTTATTTATACTGTTTTTCCACCAGGACATAGTGCGAGACATGATTTTATTTTTTTTATTTTTTTTTGGCTTCCTCCATCCTCGTGTTCTCTTTTTCTCATCTGCCTGTATGTTGTATGCCTCTCTTGTAAACAAGTCTGTGAGGTTCAATGGGAACTAACCTGTATAAATAAAGGTCTAATAATAATAGCTGTTCACATGATAAAGGAGGACCATCAGCCTAACGACCGATTGTTAATGCCCTGATGGCCGCTTGCTATTCACAGATGAACCCTTACGTCTTACAAACAACCCTTTCTCTATGTTGCTTCTATGAGATTATAACTGGGCTGAATACTCTAGAAGTTGCTTCAAGTTTCTACTGAGCCGACATATTAGCATAATCATCATTACAAACTGACTGCACAAATATTTGACCAAAATTCATCTTCTATAATTATCCTGGTGCCTTCTTCAAACTCCTTTGTGCAGCCTCACAGTTCTCATGTTTCTACTTTTGTCTTTAAAGCAACTGGTTCTTTATTTAAATGTATTCCAGTTTTACTGGTCACAAGTACACACTGCTCTGTAATGTGTCGATCCAGAGGCAAAACTCAGCTTGATGAAAATAGAGCAGTCAGATATTTTTCTTTCAGGAGTGCAATAGAACAAGGAGAAAGAAATTAAAATGTGTACAAATTAGGGCGTGGCACAAGCCACTTTGGACTGGTGGTATTCAGAGCAGAGGTGAACTTGAGTTCCTTCTGTAATACTGTACAAAGGCAAGAGACGCAAAAAAAATCTGTATGATAGTTCTGGTAATACTGAAGTTGTTGAGAAAAGGTCTTATACTGGGTCAAATAAGAAAACCTCCATGTTTTCTCCATTCAATTAATATGGAGGGTATTTACTGCAACAAGTCGCCTTTGGTGACGCACACAAACACAAATAGGCATACTTGATGAAAATATTCACTGGGTGACAAAAAAGGACAGAAACCCTGGCCGTTAGCCCAGAGCGATTTCGGGTCAACATGTTCTTTTAAACACTGTGGTGATGAATTACAGCAGGTCAGTTGAGCAAGCGAGAATAAAACCAGCACGACAGAAGCTGTGACTCACAAAGAGCCAAAAGGACTGAAAGTGGGATCAATGAAAATCTAAGTGCCCTCATTTTAATTTGAAAAGAACTCAATGAATGCATTTGTATTTTTGTTTGTTCCCAATTTTTTTTTTTTTAAAGAGCATAAATTAAGAGGTGTTGCACTGAAATAGGAGAGCTAACACACAAGGGAGGCCTCGAGGTGAGAGTAGAGACCCTGAGGAGGAGCCATCTTGCAAAATCAACGCCCACAATAAGTCTAAGATATAAGGACAGAAAAAGATGAAAAATAAAAAGAAGAGTGGAAAAGAAACAGTGGAATTCACAGAAAAAAGTCTGTTTTGCAAGAAGCGGGAGTCTTGCCTCATGATATATTGATGGTTTTGACAGGGAGGGGATTGTGAAGGAAAGAAGTTTGCTGTTGCCATCTTTGTCGACGATTTCCTGCAAAAATCAAAAAAGATTGATGAAGAAACAGAAAGCTAGAAACAGTAACATGGCATTAAATAACAGACTAGTTAACATTTTGTTTTGTATTTAACGCAGGAACACGTCTAAGAGCTGGGTACAAACAGGTATGACTTCCAGCAACACCAGCTTATGATACTGAACAGGCTGCTGCTGGATGTCAGTGACTGACAAATTACATCACTGCTGTCCACTCAACTCCACTGTCACACCGTGACAGGTATTGCAAAATTTCACACATCCCTGAATGATGCCATTGCTAAAATTAATGACTAATTATTTTCACTAGTCACAATCACAGGGGGAAAACAAGTTTTTTAACATAAATATATTGCTAAAGTTTTATTTAATAGAAACTTTAATCTGCAAAATCATTCCATGCTCTGCCACGTGCACCTTTTAAGTACATAATAACATTGAGGCTTTAATGCCTCGCCCACTTCTGGTCATGTCGACATCAGCTTTTATTTATCTATCCACAACTTTGGTTCTGGAATAAGTATTAAACAAGTAGTATTACTTTAACAGTGCCTCCACGAGTCTTTCAGTGGACTGAAGGTTCTGCCCTTCGCTCGCTAACAGTACATCTCTGAATATCTGACAGAACTGCTGAGAGCAGAGCTGTTTATCAGGACTCATAGGGGAGAATTTGGTGTGCGCTGTGTGTGTGTGAGACGAGTGATATAGACACAGAGGGATAAATTATTCATGAGTATACCCTTAGCTGTGTCGGCTGACATGGGAGCTCCTTCTTTTGGTATCTCTTGCTCTTTGCACATTCCTCAAAGGCATTTCCTGATGATGCAAACTACCTACGGCCGATCCATTAACTGGTGATTTTCCACCAGTAGGTCACCTTGGAAGGGTAATGACATAAAACCTCTATAATTTCTCTTTTCTGATAGGTCAAAAAGGTAACTGATGATTTACATCGTTATTGTTTTGTTACGTTTACACAAAACACACTATCTGGCATGTACCTGCTACATTATACCACCTCAGTCAGTGGCAAAAATAAAAGTTTATCTCATGAAAAATATCAGTATGTTTGGATTCCAGACCACTACTGGCAGAAGTGGGATGTTCAAAACTGAGGAGAAAACTAAGCTGTTTTTTGGTCAACAACAGCAATCAAATTGTTAGTGATACCCAGTCAAAGGTTTAACTCCAACAACGAGATACTGAGTTAACCGTGTCTCATTAATGACCACATGTGATGTAATTTTTCTTAATGCAAGTAATGTGCTTCAACCTGCAGGGACACTTAATGTGGACAGAGCACACAGTCCGTCTCTCCTAACATTTTATGCACAATTGTATCCACTGACCAGGTTCAAACTGTACTTATAGCCATACACGGTAAATACAAAGGTTTCAGGAAAAACATAAATGGCATCACTCGTCTAGGCAATTGCAAAGCATTCCCCGTCTCACATGCAAAATTGCAAACGGTGCACATTTCTGACAACAGACAGATGATCTCATTACAGATATCCTGCCTATAATGTGCAAATGGATTCATTCAAAGACAAAAGAAAAAGAGAACATTCACTTTCCTTTCTGCAGAAACTATCACTTCCTTCTCAAACTTATCCCAACGACAAGAGGTCGGATTGAATCTTTTCCAAAACTGCTGATGCTGGCAGCTGGTTTTGTGTTTGATTATGTAGCAGTGATTGTATCCTGGCAACTTCCCTTCCTCATAGTTGTTGAGAAATGCAACTTTTATGTGCAAATTTCTGTGTTATGAATGCTATCCTGTTGGTTTTCTGTCTCAAAAAATAAATATGAGCTGGAATAAGTCTGATATCTTGTGGTAGTTTCTAAATGTTATACCCATGAAAAAAGCTGCATTTGTTAAAACAGCACTGTTTATGTAAATCCTAAATCCAGAAATGAAAACAAACGACGGCTACAAAAGATCCGTGTTAAGCTAAAATCCTCAGGGCTTCACATCTGAAAACATCCTCTTTGTGGAACTTTAATACATTTTAGAGTTGGTCTTCTACGCCATTCAGGACTGACACCCACCAAGTTGTAGATGCCCAAGAGGAGGGCCTCGATGCAGCCGTTGCTTTGACGGTCCCTGCTGGCAGTGAGGCGAAGGTAAACCCACACCAGTTCAGGCAGGAACTGCAGGGTGAAACGTCGCAGAGGGTCTTCCGAGCTCCGGTAAAGCTCGAACAGTTGGTGACACACAGGCTCCAGTAGCTGGAAAGCAGAAGGGAATGCATGCAAAGTGAAAAAATGTTAAGACCTTAGTCACACAGTTTGTAGTAAAACCTTTAAATCAGTACTGAAATAGATGCATCACAGCAGGGGATGCAATGGTGAACAAATGCTGCAGGGTTTTACACAAAAATCCATAGAGCTATGACACATAAATATCCATTCCTTACATTTCTACATGCATTGTTTAATTCATACATATTGTTCTTAAAGCCTCTATTTGAAGACTGACATTTAAAACTTTATTTAAAAGTTTTAATTTTAATTTTAAAAAGTTGGACATTTAAAAGTTTAAAACATTTTAAACTTTCTTCTTTCTGCTGCCTTTCATTTTAAATCTTTTGTATCTTTTTATATTGTTATGGAATTGTTTTGTACTTTTTTTAAATGAATAAAGTTTATACCATATACCAAAAAACCATAAACAAACTGGCAAACTCAAAACCCGAAATGATAATCTTTTTTTTTAATTAATTTTTTTAAATGATAATCTTGATATACACACATTAGGTAGATCTTCATTTTAATATGTAAAAAAAATGCAATAAGAAATAAAATATCAAGTAACCGTTTTATCTTAAGAAGAAAAAAAAGAAACAAACAAGAAAAAAAAAACAAGGCTGCAGGGGGATAGGAAATCAGAGAAGTGTCTTTAGTAGCCCTTTTGAAACAGAAATACACTGAGCAGGTTATTTAATAGCTTCTATATTAAAACATAAAGGTGATCCTGACCTCAGTGCTATAAGATGGACGGATAAGAAGGAATCTTTTGTTGCCAGTCAATAGTAGTTTTGGGAAGTGAGGGATTTTCTACAATGAGAGCACGGACAGATGTATTCCCAAGGGAACCTGCAGAGCCGTTGTATTTACACTATTCAGGTCAATGAGTGTCCACGCAGCACTACTGTGCGAGTGTGCCCGTGTGTGTGTTGTCCTGTGGCTGACTGGAGAAAGGAGCAGCAACTCATTAATAAACTTATGTGGTGTCCTATTGCATCAGCAAAAAGCTCTTTGCAATTCCAGCATCCCTCTCTATCGCGCAAACATACAGAGCCGATGCTCGATCAGGCGTTTCATCATTAATAGGATTGTGCAGCTACACTGACGGCACTAATGGAATTTAGATCCCTGGATGCTTGACTCTTCAATTTGACCGTGAAATAGAAGGAAAAAGATGGCACCACACGACGACTGCATCATTAGAAAAATGACCAGCCTCATTGGGCACATGGATTTAGGAAAACAAACAAAACAAAGTGTCATGTTATTTAAAGAACAAATGAATACTAAATCTGATGCAACAGGAGGACACATTTGGGTTTTAGCATGTGACTGAGGCTATGTCTTGTCTGGTGTGAGCAGCAGATGTTCTAGTTTGTTGTTTATTGCTCAATATGTGTGTGTACCTGCATATATGTGTGTGTGAGTACAGTACACTGAGAACACTGTGTACCATCTCACAGGTGATGTGGCTGCCACTGCCACAGAGCCCTTTCATCATACTATGACACAGACCACCACATTCTTAATTGCATGCGTGTGTCCTGCAGTCACAGTTGTGTGTCAGCCTCTTACTCAAAGCCAAAGCCAGACATCATCATGTTAGTCACAAACACAACGAGCCAAGAACATGAACTCCGTGTATGTTTGGGTGGTTCACCTCGTTGTTTGGATCCTGGATGACTCTGTAGAGCGCTGGAACCAGGGACTTTTTTAGGTGAAGGCTGCCGGCGTAGCTGCGGATTTGGGTTTCTGGTAAGGTCTGGAGCAGAAAGACACAGAAGAGGTGTTTGTAAAACTTTGCCATCAACTATTGGAGTCAACTGTATCAAGAAAATATCCAATGAACCACTGGACAGATTTTAAAGATATTTAATAGATAGTAATTGTTAAGATGTAAATTTGCAATCGATTCATTTTTAGAGTCAATCCACTTCAAGATGGCCACCATTGCCAATCGAATTTAGTAAACTCAAAAATGGAGTTAACTTGGTCAAATTTACATATACTGAGCTAGATAGGCAGGAGTCATCCACAACATATTTTGAACTTCAACAGATTTCACACTAAATCATGCCCTAAATGACTCCACCTCTGTTTCCTCTCAACACACCAGTAAGTTGGTCTTAGGTTAAAACTCTGACACAAAAGGCAGCAGGAGATACGCATTCCTTCAAGGAACGCTAGGTCATCATTTCTTTTCACATTTTGTGTTTTTAGGATTTGCAGTATGCAACATCAGTAAGTCAAAGAGCGTTAAATACCAGGACCATAAAGCTACAGTTGGAGCACCAACTGTTACATATTTATACAAACGATCCCATCTGTGAGTTCAAAAACGAGGCAAGTTCAATGAATAGCAAGGTCAGCGAGGCTGTTAAAGTGCAAGTGGATGCAGACATTGAAACAGTTTTTATAAAAAGAAGAAAATAAATCTCTCTTAAAAGCATTGGAGTCAGAATGATGATGTCTGACAGGAACAAAATATCCTGGGGTGGCAAACTTCAAACAGTCAAGATTGAGTGCTGACTGCAGAGATGGCCTCTCAGCATGGCGCTTTAACGTGGGTGAGACATGCTGCGATTTGTCCCCATATGTACTTTTTTTCAGGTTTATAATTTTGTCTTCTGGTGTTCTGTCCATTTTAAGTCCAAGACCCCCATTCCAATTTCCAGGGAAATTTCACTACGCCATAATAGCTGTTAGCAGTAAAACTTGTTTGCATTTCAAAAACAGAAATGTAAAACTAACTACAACATATTCAATGATTTCAGAAACTACTAGTCTTTAAAAAGATGTCACGTCAGTAATTTTCCTTATCAAAAAGTATTTATTTGGTCCGTTTGTTTGTGTTTGGGTCTTTTTCTTGCCGTTCAACACTTTTTAATACCTTCACACTTGACAGGTGTTTGGCTGAAGAGCTTAGTTTAAATATTTTAATAAGCAGGTTCAAAATGTTGACAGGCTGAGTTCTTTTATGTTGTAAAAATTCAAACAGGACTTTAATCCTACACAAACTACATGCCTCAAACGGCAACATAACTACTGTTTTATAATATATCATGTTTAAAAGAAGACTGTAACTTCAGCTTTCAAGTCTCGCAATAAAAAGTGCAATGTAGGTTATTCGAATGAAACACTTATTACAAGGTTATACTGCTGAGCAGTGGCTACAAAAATAGTCCCTGCTCCTCATCTTGATGTTAAAAAACATAAAAACTCCTGTAGTGATATTGTATCCGAGACAAAAAAGGGAATGAATATGCAGCAGTGTTCAGTCAAGTCATCTGGACAGTTTATTTTTGTGCCGAGTCGTTTCGTCCTTCATCCAAAGGACTTCTTCAATCTGAGAAGCCACCAAACAAAACTGATTACCACTAACAGCATACTCTATAGTGGGGGGAAATTTATAAAAAAAAAAAAAAAACAGTTTGCTGGTGCTAACATGGCCTCTAGGGCTCGCCCTCTCCTCCAGAGCCCACCCTCTCCTTCACCGACTCTTCTGAGACAGTCATGTCAAAGTGGTTCAAAACACCAAAGTTCATGCTCAATAATTCAGGTATAAAATCCAACGATGTTCAGTCATGGGGAATTGATGAGGTAGTGGGCGGACCCCGGAGAAGAGGGCGGGCCCCAGAGGCCATCTTAGCACCAGCAAACCGTTTTTGTTCCACTATGGAGTATGCTGTTTGTGGGAATCAGTTTGTTTGGTGGCTTCCCGGATTGAGGAAGTCCTTTGGATGAAGGATGAAACATCTCAGAAAAAAAAAAGAAATCATCCAGATGACCTGACACTGAACATTGTTGGATTGTATACCTGGATTATTGAGCATGGACTTTGGTGGCATGAATATGGCTTTTTTGTTTTCATGACTATGATATCGTCAAGAAGGATATGACAAAAGGGGATCAAGAATGATGTGGTCAACGCAGGAGAAAAAAAAAAACCTGCCAGAATGACCAGGTAGAGCAGATTAAATTATTCTGGAGCTTAAATTTACAGTAAAAGAATCAAAAAGTCCAAAGCAGCAGAAAAACACAAGATCTAGATTTTTTTCAGGGGGAAATGAAAGTTAAAGACAAACAAGTGCTAATTAAATGGGAGCAAAGCACGTTGTTTAAAAAAAAACCTTTAACGTCACCACAGTAATTTTTCTGAGTGCATTTTTCAGCCACTATTGTGACTCATCTGCCTTCACATAAATACAGACAACTTCTCCAAAATAGGACTCCTACACAGAACAAATCTACAAAAAGCTTACACTGTTGCTCTCTGAATTCTTGCAGACAAATTTACTATATACATAATAAATCAAGTGTATCTAAGTGTGAGAATGACACTTAATATAAAGACTTTCCACTGGAGAGAGTAAATCTAACAAAGAATATTTGACCTATAGCCTTAGTTCTTGCTTTTCTGAATAACTTGAATAATTAAAAAAAATTAAAGTGGTAAAGTTGGAACATTCCCACATCTTTACACTCAGTCAGTTCAAAGCTACTACACCCACAGTTCATTTGAAAATCTATTTGCAGGAGTACATTTAATGTGGTGATCTATGAACAGAGGTAGGTCTTTACCTTGAATTCGGAGAGCCATTCTTCCACAACATCGCGCTCTGTTCTCAGCATCTTCTTCAGAGACCTCCTCTTGGATGCCTGGTGAGCAGAAAGAGGAAGAGTTGAAGAAAAAAAATGGCAGGAAAAAAAAAGAGTAACTACTGTGAATAATTTTTTTTAAGAATGTCCAAACTCTTGTGTTTATTACCACCCTTCTTTATAAGAGACTATATTGGTTTCCATGCAACTGAAGCCTCTATCATTTTAATTTTCACATTGATCCAGGACAAAGGACGGTTTAATTTGAAATGAATAAAGGGTCTCTATGGGAGAAACATTCAAATACCAGTGACGAAGGAGACACATTATGCATAGACACATCATCTAAAACAGGTGCCTGTCAGTGCTGAATAATCGAACTGCTTATGCGCACATAAATGCACCATCATAAAAATCATTCTGTGATTATAATAAAAATTACCACTGTGCATGAAACAGAAAGTTAAGATACCTGCATGCTACCTGTGGAGGAATAACAATTTAACATTTAATTTGATTGTAATAATTACAACAACAACAAATAAACAATATTTCTGGAATTAAATTAGCAGTAAAGCAGCAACAAGAACATAATCTTGATTCTGTGAGAGTTATGACACCGTTACACAAGTAACTTGCACATTAACCTATCACAGCAGACATACGACGACCAGGAACAACAGGAGGATTCATGGGAAATTTAATTGACAACTCAAATTTTACATTGCCAACCTTGAGCCTGTTTTTGTTGCTCACATCTTGTACAATCAAATGAAATATATTCTATGCTTTCAAATTTGAGAAAGCAGGAGATATTTTGCATGTTACACACAATTGAGAAACAGCTACAGCAAACGAAAAGACAATATTTATATATAACGTGACTCTGGGCTGCAGCACACACTATTTTCCTGTTCTCTGCATCTTGGTGCTAAAAATAGATTGAGTAAACTGCCCAAAAAATAACAAGCTTCATATCATTTCCCATGGAAAATGCAGTTTTTTAACCCACAAGCAGCTGGATATGAAAGAGACACATCTCAGCAAAAGGCAGCCAGTGACTGTGTGTCCACTGATGAACTGAGTGAAGAGTCACAGGATGCAGGGTTTGGTTGAATATAGACTGAAGGTGATGTTCCAATGAATCATTCACAAAGACAAACAGTGTTTCATTATGTAACGGCAGATGGAAACAACGAGGCTTTCGAGTGAGGCCAGCCTTTCCCACCGTTTGACTGTCACAATCAATTTATTTAGCGAACCTTTAGAAGAGAAAGAAGCAAAAACGTTTAAAAGAACAACCGAATTTAAAATATATTAAGGACTCTTGTTCAGTTTTGCGAAAGGTTAATGTTCGCTTTTAACACATTTCTGTCAAAATCTAACAAGGCTGAGTCAGATCCTCTGGATGGATTCTTTACACTGACATTTTGTCATAAATTAGAAACGGAACAACTTAGCAACAAAGTTTTAGCCTGCCTCAGCAACGCCAAACCACCACCTTCTAACATCAGCAGAGAGGAGAGAGACACACCACTCTCAGTAAGGACAAGAGCATCATCATCCTCTAGCAGACAAAGAAAGGTGCACAGTGATTTTGAACCAGAAAGACCATCATGAGAAAGTTATGACACTCCTTAGTGACTTAACCACTTATGAACTGCTGAAAAGAGATCCAGAAAGTAGTTACCAGAAGAAGTTGATAGATTGCCTGAAACATTTGGAGCAGGACAAGGCTATTGACCGTATTCTGTACCACAGACTGTATGTACCCAGGGGAGGCCACACCTAGTTTGTATGGTTTACCCCAAATTCACAAACAAGGTGTACTTTTAAGAACAATCGTTAGCATGATTAACTCTGTCACTTACAATGTTTCTGTCACGAAACCAGGCTTTTGGATTCAGAATGACAAAGACACAAGAGTAAAAAAAAATGAAAACAGTTTTATTTATAATTGCAGCTGCAGCCAGGGAAAGGATCTAGAAGAGGTAGGGTTGTGATCCAGAAGGCAAGGCAGGGATCAAGCATGGGGAGTCAGAGTTCTTAAAACAGATCCAGGGGGTAATCCAAAATCCAGAGTCAAAGGGCCAAAAAAAGTTGTCGTACCAGGGTCAGAAGGGCAGAGCAAAACCAGACGAGCGACAGGCAGAGAGATAAATCCAAGAGGCAGGCGTGAGGTCATAGTCCAAAACACAAGGCTTCAGTTCAGGCATGAAACTATGAATGGATTGAGAATCAGGGACCATGAGAGGTTTAATAATCTGGCACAGGACAAGTGAAAGTGGCACTCTTAAATAAGGCCAAAAACAGGTGAAGTGAATCAGAGCTGATGAGCTGAAAGCGCAGACAGGGGTGTGGCTTAATGACAGAAGAAAACATGACATTAAGAGGCAGGGAAAAACAGCATATGATAAAGAGGTGCAGAAAACATGACATGAGGGGCTGTGAGTGAGGTAGGGGACAGAGGAAGTAATAAAGGCACAAAGGGGCAGAGACTTAAGCAGAATGGGGCAAGCAGAGATCGCTGATCATGACAGTTTCCAAATATCTGGCGTCTGTACTCATCCCTTTAGTGAGCAGCTCAGAACACCACATACAGAACACCATGGACTTTGTGGATAAGGTGAGGGATGTCATCATGGAGATTGAAGAAACTATTTTGATGTCACATCACTCTTTACGTGCTTTCCTGTTGATGATGCAGTAGAGGTGGTCAGTTTAAGATTAAAATCAGACACCACTCTGAGCAGCAGGACCACGCTTTTCACAAAACAACTGTGTCAACTCTTGAAACTGTGCCTGCAGTCAACCTACTTCACATATGGGGAGCAATATTATAGGCAGAAACATGGGTGTGCTATGGGGTCTCCAGTTTCTCCTATTGTTGCCAACCTGTACATGGAGGAGGTAGAAAAGAGAACCTTGACGTCCTTTTCAGGGACACCACCAAGTCATTGTGTTGACGACACCTGGGTTAAAATTAAATCTCAGGAAGTCCAACATTTTACTGATCACATCAACTCTGTGGATAAATACATCAAGTTCACACGAGAAGATGTAAAAAATGGAAGGTTGGTTGGACTGTGAGGTCTCGGGTCTCTGATGGAGGACTTTTGGATAATGATGTGTACCGCAAACCCAACCACACAGACCAGTACTTTGGGTTTGACTCCCATCACTCGTTGGAGACCTGACTCAACTTTGTTAGATTTATCGACTTGGATTATGGAGCATGCATCAGGATATTTCTGCCAGAAACTAAACACATAGGACAGTTGACTTAAATTAAAGCCTAAACCTACAAGTTAACAATATACATTATTCTTAAATAATTTAAAAAGACACAGAGGTCCAAAACTCGTTAATTCACACAACTGGTCACTGGTCCTTCTTACTGAAAAATGTTTTCTCGTGAAATTACTGAGTTTTACTTAATGTGAACATGAAATAAATCTCTGTCATTAGTAAGAGTAAAACCCACCTCGAATAAGCAGCAAGATGGTCTTTTACACCCAGCACCTCGATTTAATTACCTGCATCCATAAACCCAGTCTTTTTTAAATTAAATATCACATTATAAATGGGGTAACAACACATACTGAACCTTTATCTACCAGTTTTAGTTTATCCTAATTACACATGTTTATTTGTGGTGTTGACACCAAGGTAAATTGCTACTCACTGTAGGAAAACCGCACACTCTGATCATGTTTCCAACTTGCCGTGCAAAAACAAACATGAGGCAAAAGAGTGTTAATAAACTAACTGCAGCTATGTCTTTTATTGTCATCGAGTGCAATTATCCACAAAAACAGAATTTTGGAATGCCTGGTTTAATTTCTGAAAACAAGAATTAGATTTGAGTAAGTTTGGAACTAAAAACATATAGTGGATGTGGCTGCCGGGCTAATGTGAGTAATTAAGCAAATAAGGAGTGTCATGATAGATGGACTAAAATCTACAGCAGTTGCAAGGGGAAACATGTTCCTGCATGCTAAATATATAGTAAGGTGAAGGTTTTATTATCATTAAGAATATCACTTGGAAAACACAGCAGTAGCTTCAAGAGACATTTGGCAATAAAGTATTTATTGAATTCTGTAATTTTATGCTGGTTGAATCATGACTAAACAGCTGTCTATATTGCAACTGATAATGTGAGTTTTGAGAGCAAATCCTGTTTTAAACTTGACTGAAAGGCTTTTCCTTCAACCCTTTGCATAAATGCATCCTGTTTCAGATAGACTTTGACCTCTCTTTTAAAACAAACAGAAGAAAGACTTATGCAAATTTAAATCCACATCCAGAGGCAAATATTTAACTTGGCCTTGATGCAGTTGCCTGCTAAACTTTGGTGGCATTTAGACATTTCACGACAATATTTACAGTAGAGGTTACTATTTAAACCAAACCCATCGTAAACGATTCAAAAACCCAGTATGGTGCAGATAAGCATGAAAATTGTTTTAAAAAGAAGCTCAGAGGAGCAAGAAAACCAATTTGTTGCAGGGTTAGAAGGGCAAAAGAGATGATATGAACTAGAGGAATCTTTTTGTGCGAGTACACTTTCTAAAATATTAAGTCTGTGAACTGAAAGGCTCCATTTAGTCAGCTTGTTCAGCTTTTTAAAAAAGACCGACTCATTCATTTCCTCTGACTTGTCAGGCTGTCAAAGACTTATTGGTACAGCACAGCAGGGCAGTATAAGTAAGTTACCACTGGGACAGCCATCAAAGAGCTTTCAGACATGCCAAATATTCACCAACTGATCATTTTGTTAATAAAATTGAGCTAAATTTTGATCAACATAATCTCTGGTGGCAGATAAGAACTGATAATGTGAAGGCCGCTATGAAAACACAATGTCTCAAATTTGTCGTCGTCTTATATTTGGGTTTTGTTCCATTTTTAAATGAATAAAAAAAAAACTGTACTAGCAACTTAAAAGAAACAAAGACAAACAATAATAAAAAATAAAAAAAAGGCTAGCCTCGAGATACGGAAAAATAAATATACTTTATTAACAATAACAGGCTGCCTGTTGATGAGGAGCCTCGTAGATCCTGCTTGGGGTTTCAAATTTAAATAGCATGGTGTCAAAATGGGCGTGTTACCTTTACAGAGAGACCAATCTTTTGCATGTGCTCCAAAGGGTTCATGAACAGCCACTAACTTAACATGGGGATGCTTTTCCCAGGTGTTTCATGCATTTTTTTGGGGGGGACTGTTGTGTCAAAAAAAAAAAAAAAATTATCAATTGAAAACTAAACATTGTAGAACATATTAGATTATTTTCAAGACATGTCTTTGACTCCCATGTGCTTACCTCGGCGTCCCACAACTCAAATCTCCACGGGGAGATGAAAATGGTTTTCCACAGGGCCACACATCGTTCTCTCTATGAGGGTCACCTGCAACAATAAAACAATCAAATCAACAACTGTTAGGTCATCAGCACTCCAATGAAGTCATACTGTTTGAATTCAATATTTTAAATTTGTTGTAATTCAATGACAAAGCAGATGAGAGACTTCAATCTTTGGTTGAGACCTTATTAACACAGAAAAACTGAAATAATAGACAGAACTTGTTATCCATCCATATTTGAAGAGCATTTTATTATACACCATAATTTTCAATTTTAAACCAATACATCACTTTTGTCTGTTCATGTCTTTTAACACCATCATGGGCAGCTAAAATTCAACTAGATAAAGAGAATAACATACTTTACTGGGACACACCTAGATACAATTAAACAAGTAAATACTGTTAATACATATTTTGTAGCTCTGTTAAGAAATTTTCTTGCTTCACCATTCATATTTTAACAATGGCATTTTTTAATGCAAATTTCACTTAGAAACGTGTTTATTAAACAAAATGAATCAGGAAGGAGAAGCCGCTTCACATAAAACAGGTAATTATCAGTCAAAAATTGCTCAGTGAGAAAAAATATCATTTTGAATCATCAATTATTGTTTTAATGTGAATTGCAATTAGCTGTAAAAAATGACTTACTGTGTTAAAAAAAAAACTTGTAAAACTGGGTTAACTTTGATAAAAACCTTGGATAAAAAAAAAAAAAAAAAGAAATTCTCAATTTGAAGCCATTAAATAATAATGACCTTCATTTTAAATGTCACAACAATTTTACAAAGTAGTTCCAAGTAACTGAGTTGGTAGAAAATATAAATCAAAATACAGTTCCAAGTTCCTTATTGGTGTATATTAACAGACAGCTGATAGTTTTAACAAAATAAATCAACATTTTTGTGAGAGATAAGACAGCAACATGCATGACAAAAATGTCTGATGTCATGAGAAGTAAAAAGTGGCTTCACAGAACAAACCTTACATCAACAAGTCAAGAAATCACCGCACAGAAAAATACCATTATAGTACGATGAGGATTACCTACTGGAAGCTGTGAGCAAAGTGTTAGCTTGACTTCTCCAGAACAAATCATCTCTCTGTATGACTCATCAAAACTGAAATACAGTGGCTTCAAACGGAGTAAAATAAACGTTTGACAAAAGTGACAGACCACATGAAAGATGACATTCAGTCACCTGAGATGAAAACGTGGTTTCAAAGGGAACTTCCTGTAAGTTGTTTTCTACAGCAGGAAACTACTGACTCAACATTAAATGCATTCATATTACATTGTAGAAATGACGGTGTTAAAAGGGCACACACTGTATTTAAATTTTAAGGGTTGTCCTTTCAGTTTAATAGCAAAAGTGCTTTAAGTTAATGTATTTAGGCACAAGAGTTATGGTGCTAAACAGCTTTTTTCATTCAACCTTTATTTAAACAGGTAAATCCCATTGAGCCTCGAGGACTCGATTACAAGAGAGACCTGATTTCAACAAAGAATGATGACAACAGTGGACAACAGCGACAACAATAGACATAAGAAGGCATACAATTTTTTTTAAATTTTTTTTTACAAATAAGATGGCAAAAAAAAGTAACAAAAACATCTAGATTATAAGGCGAATGTAGACAACTAAAAACAGGAACATGTCTGCATTGGTCCTTGCCAGGAGTCCAACAGATTCTTAAAGCCACTTAGAGAGGTCAAGGTCGAGAGCTTCAGGTCTTTTTGTAAGATATTCCAGTTAATGGAATCCAGGAAACAGGAGCAGAGTAGGAGAAGGCCCTTTTGCTTAGTTCAGTCTGCAATGAGGGAACACTGCAGGTAATAATGTCCTGAGAGCGCACGCTGTAGCTGCACTCACGCAGAGACATGTAGGAGATGTATGAAGGCAGCAGACCAAGAAGTGATTTAAAGATGAAAATGTACCAGTCAGAGAGTCTGCGTGAAGTTAATGGTGACCAGTTAACCAGTCAGCTTATGGTAATAGTCCAAACCAATAAACAAGACTTTGCAGTTTAGTCTGCATCATCTCCATTTATCAAGTAAAATCTGCACAACATTAGAATAGAGTAGGCATCCCAGATTTATACAGTAGTCCCTCATTTATCGCGGGGGATCTGTACCCTGAAGCCCCACGATAAGTGAAAAACGGCGAAGTAGGAATAATAGTACAAGTAGAAAGTAGTAGTTTAAACCCTTTCCACCTCTTGCAATATTCTAAACAATGTTTTTAAACTCTAAACATTCTAAAAGAGCACAGAATGTCATGATTTCAGCTCTCAGCCTCCGGCTGCACTCTTGGCCACGCCCACTTCTCCTCTCTGCACAGAGATCTGCTGATCAGCTGCAGGAGGAAGCTTATCCTGCAATGTGGGCTACACAGAGGTGTAGGAGGTGTTAAATTAGGGATGCACGATATTATCGGCATGGTATCGGTTAGCATGATTAGTCTTACGGCACAGTGGATAGACAAAAACTTTGAACTTAAAAAGGCTGTCCTTCATGCACAAGAGTGCAGAGGATCCCAGACTGCAGCTAGGAACCTGGAACAAGCCTCCACAAGTGAGACAGCATCGCATGTGACTAATGCTAATAAATAATATTTAACACTTTTAATTTAATATAAGTTAAAGTGCTATGCATATCATAAGGTTATTACTGAATATATGTCACCAGCTCTTACAGCCGTTACACATTTTTTGTAGCAAATACGCCTAAATAAGAGGGCTGTTCTGACAAAGGGAAGTATACAAAATATCGGTATAGATTATCGGCCAATTTTAACATATCGGCATATCGGATATTGGCCAAAAATCCAATATCATGCATCCCTATGCTAAATAATTAAAAATAATTTAAAATAAAAATTCCATGCCAATCGTGCGACTCATCCATCAATCAGCCAGTTGTGTGTCATGTCTAATCTTACTTTGAAAAACCGCGTAGAGTGAGACAGCGAAAAACAAACCGTGAAGTAGCGAGGGACTACTGTAACTCTACTGCAGTGTCATTTGAACTACAGCAGTGAATTTTGCAACATAACCCCTAAAACAAGCTTTTAAAGTACTCACAAATTTAACTACAGTGTAACCTGAGAAGAATTAGAGGTAGAGTTTAATTATTAGACACTAAAAATAGAAGTCAAGCAAGAATAATGCCAAATAAACAAAAAGCTACAGCTGAGTAATCTCCCGAGAAAAATGACAACTCTGGTTTTCCATCCGAATACAACAAATCAGATGGTACTTACTTTTGTAATAGAAAATGGTTCCTCTCTACTCTCTCTGGTATCTCAGTTTCTGAGTGTCAGCATGGTTTGCCAGCTTGTTGGCACTGTTGGCTAAATATGTCGTACATGTAACGAAGCTTGGAGAATAACAATAAGCAAACTTTCCTTCTAGGGTTGTTCTTCCTCTATATAGAAACCTGCTCATTGTCCCATGGCGGAGTTCACCAGGGAATAGAATAGTGCCAGCCCATCCTGTTTACGACACTTCGAATCCCATATCACAATTACACAGCTTGACACACCGCTGACTAGAACACAAGGGCAAAACAAAGCCAGCAAGTGTTTTGTTCATTTTAGTTTGCCAAGCCTGGCTGAATCACAATGCTGCATATTGTATATTAACTTTTCTGTCTTCAAAGTCACAACTTTCAGATAAAATGGCTGACAGCATACATTTGTTACTGCACTAAGGACCTTTACTCTATAAAAAAAAAAAAAACAGCAACAAAACAAGGCAAACAATGATCAGAGAAATAATTTTCTATATTATTAAACACAGCAGTTCACTTAGAAAGCAGTCTACTATTATGTCTCAAACTTAAGTCATTAAGGCGTAATGAGGGTGTTTACCATCCTAAAATATTCACAATGGTATTACTATGGTGATGTTTACAAAACACAACTTTTACAGTTTTATACGTTTTGTCATTTGCTAAGACTAATCAGCTGAGGCTTGTGAGGTTTTCACTATTCTTGTGTTTATTTTGACATAATAGTTAAAACTGTTATACTCTTCTCTTTTAATCGCTTTTTCCTGGATTGTGTTACAGTAAGAAACAAAAAAGGTAAAAGTCAGTCAAGTTGCAAAAATTTGTTTTTGCATTATAAAAATGAATATACAACCAATGGTAAACACAAATATTAAGGTTCCTGACTAGTCATGTAGAAAAACATAGCAATAAGTTGTCAAAGGTGCAAGAAAAAGCTCAGAAATCCCTGAATAGGATTAATTTGTGAGCTGAGAATCTTAGCAGCCTCGCATCTGACTAAGTACTACTTTTATTAGTTAAGTTGGTGAATAAAAAAAACTCTCCATATAATCATTTGACTCAGGCCAAATCCAAAATGACATCCAAAGATCATCATCCTGAAAGCTGTGTCATCGCTGCTGTGTATGGGCGTGCCACTTTATTTTTTCACGCTCACCCACATGTTTTCCTCTCTTCTGCCAGCTGCCTGTACACACAAAGCAGATGACGGCTGTAGTCACTGAACCAAAATACTGCAGGACTTTTTAGACAATCACTAAATGTGTTAAGAGACAGCTTTACGATAGAAAACAAGTCTATGCTGTTAACAAAAGAAGCATTACCTTCTGTCATACAAACAAACCATACACTGGGGAATAAAATAGGATAAAATGGGTAGAAAGGAACTAAATATTGATTTCATCTCCAAAAATTGTCTTTCCAGGTGGCATACAAGTGGCAATCTACTGAACTGAACCATCACGAGCTTGAGATGAATGCTCAAGTGAGTGTTGAACAGAGGGCTCCCTGAAACACTTCACACCAACACTTCA